ATAATTTATTTTATAATATAAATGTTTTTCATATAAAAATAAATCATAAAATTAAATATTTGCAATTTTTTGAACTCTCATAAGACCGTTTTTTATAATTATGGGTAAAAATGTAATATTTGTTTAAATATTGTTATTGTTTCCAGTATACGTAAACTTGGAGAAACTTTCATTGACTTATATACAACCATGATTATGTTAATTAAGATCAGTGATAAGGATCGATTGGTTATGCTCTTAATTATATGAAAGATCCTTCAAATAAAGAGATACTTTTGATATGTGGAACACATAGTATGTATATAGTGAACGGTTATGCCTGAATGAAACTATCGTGGGAAGAGTTCTCATTGCAGCATCAATCTGAAAGAATATAATTAGCATCGATTTGCATTGCCTAGTTCTCGATATGCGCAATTTAAAACGTATATTACTGCATCATAAATCAATTAATATCAACAATCTCTCGATTATAAAAATTCATGATCGCATTTAGAACTTATTAGAAAAGCTTACTAGAGTCAACAATTATTATTTGTATTTAATTACCTTGCTCTTGATATATAAACTTATTTCCGATTAATTTAGATTACAGAATCACCGATTTTAAATTCACATCGAGTACATACTTATTATTTATTTTATATTTTAAATATTATTTTTTTATAACTTATTATATTTTACTTCCTATACAAGTTTGTTTTACAATTAGATATGAAACTACTTTGATTGCAGAATAATTAGCTTTAAACACGTGTCAAATATTTATTTATTTATCTTTAAATATATTTTATTATCTTTCTTTTACTACAAACTTATTTTAAATATAAAACAATTTTAATTATTAAAGCTATTGAAATCCATAGTGGTTAACATTTTCTGTCTACTTTAATGATTATTACAAGCCATAAAAACTCAAGAATAGTTTTTTTTTTTTTTGACGATAAGTAAAATTGCTTGAAGATAAATAGTAATAGTAAATAGGAAAATGCAATATTTACTTAGTCAACAAATTGTTAAAAGATTTTTTTCAGAATTGATAGAACTATTCTCTCTCTCTCTYTCTTTTTATTCTATGAAGAATCACCAACATTCTACATTTCGTATCAAAGCAATCGAAAGGATCTTTAAGAGCGTTGGTTTCCTCATAAAACACGTGCAACTACTACACGTCACCTTGAAATCGAGACCCGCATTATGCAGGTCACCGCTACTTGGCCCTGTATATCTTTACGAAACGTTTTCTCACCCACGTATTTGTCCATGCACGCGTTAGACTTGAATCTTGTAAATCTTTTTCTCGCTTTTATGTATTCTGGTATCTATTCATGATAAAATCTGAACAAAATTCTTACATGAAATTCTATTTTATGAAAAAATTGGTTCAAGAACTAAAAAGCAATTAGCTGCTTATTCTTTTTCCTTTTATGTAATTTTAAAACGAAATTTCAATTAATTTAATTATTTAATTATTGATTATTTCCTGAAATATATTCTATTATTTTGGTTAATTAATTGTAGAAAATATTAAAAAGAGTACTCTCTAACGATACACTTTAGCGCAAATATAATCTTCTAATTATTTACTGTAAATAGTATAAAAATATGTTTTTTAATTAAAAAAAGCTTAACCAAAATATAAATATAACTTTAAATTATATTATAATGCATTTTATCGTAATATTAAAAAAAAAAACACAAACAACAACAATATATTATCACATTAAAAATAATTCAACAATTGGATACATTTAATATGATTTTGTATAAACGGTTCCCAACCGTAAATTTGATCCAGGTATTACAATAAACCTAGCCGATAAATTCTATTCGAGTCGATGATAATCACGGTTAAAGGTCGAGGGGTTCATAAACAAGGGTCAGATCAGAGGGCATCGGCGTTAGCTTTGGGCAAGCTTCCGTTGAAGGGTCACGTTTGCAACAAGCGTAGTCTGTAGCGAAATGACGCTTGGAATGCAGAGAATGTGCAACAGGCTTCTCGACGAGCGCTCTGGGTACGGTCATTCGTGCCAAATACCTTCGAGGGCCCAATCCCTCTTCGAGTTCGCCGTTCCGCCAACGGTCGTTCGATTCAACGACGATACATGATCATCCTCTTCGTCATCGTCGCGTTTACTGGTTGGTTGGTACGCCTCTTCGAGAATACCAGAACGTCACAACGACGTTATAGAGGGTGAAATTTTACGTTGACTGATCCTCTCGACGAACTAAACGGTCCCATTCGATCTCATCGTATTTCGAATCGATCGAAGTCCATTATTGTCCATTATTGGAATTCCCTTGGAGTATGCTAAATGACGTGATTTGACTTTCTATTTTGTTCTTTCGGTTCTTTCAATTATTTTTTTTTTTTTCTGTAAATTAGATTCATACACAATTTCATTAGACACTTAATTATTTTAATTAACATTCAATTTAATACATATTATTAGAATAATATTTTTATAAATATTAATGGTTAAAAAAACGAATAATTATGATTATTTGAATTATAATTAAGTGGACGCGCCTTATTGCAAAGAATCCGCATTGCATATAAAAAGTCTATAGAAATTATTTCCAGTTTATCTTTTGTTTAAAATTTTAAAGTTAAAAATACCAAATACAGGAAGTTCGATCTTATCGTTTTTAAAATCGACAAGTGTCCATTCTTAAAGTTTGAATGATTAGAATTCATTTGGAGTGTGTGTTATATGCTACATGATCTGAATTAATTTTCTGGATTTGGGGGGATCTTGCTCAGGGTCGGGTAAAATATTGGCGGTATCTGGTTTTTGCAGCAATGAACTTTCGGGTTCCTAACGCTATTTCATAATAATAATATTTAGATAAGGTTTTTTTCTCTTTTCTTATAAATTATTTTTATTGATTCGGTTAGAATTTTAATAATTAGAAATTATCATAATAAGACGATTCTGATTTAGAAACTTATTTAACTGAATTTTATATAAGTAATATTCGTGTTAATGTTTCTGATATTAATTTAATTAAATTTATCCCTTCTTTCAATTAAACTCACAATTAAAGTAGAAAAATATTCATATTATTTGTAATTAAATTCAAATAATAATTATATAGGTAATAAGAGAAAAATATTCGTCTTATTGTTAGTGTGTTATAAATACGGTGTTAGGACTGTTAAGCATGAGGATTGGCATACGTGTCTCGTTTCAAGTCGACGCACTGTTGATTCGTCAGCATTGCCGTACTAATTACGCGTGTGCTGGCCCGGGATACCGGTTCGAAGTTAACAATGGTTGTTTCCCATTCAGTGGACGCATTTGGCGAAGCGGCCAACGGTATGGGGTTTAAACCGAATGGTCAAACATTTTGTGTGTGTTGAGAAAGAGAAAGAGAAATGGAAACAGCAGGTGCACAATAAAAGTGTATATATGTGTATATCCGTGTGTGTTCACTAACAACCATACAACAAATAAAGAGAGGGAGAGAGAGAAAGAGAGAATAAGCCACCGGTCATTTCGCATAAAAGAAGACAACAATAAACGTTCTTCTCGTTGCGGCACTGAAACGAAGCTAATTAACGTTTCTCTTGGAAACGGAGTTCCAGACGGCGCCATCTCGAATACCAACACATGGGTCTTGTATTTTTGTCGGAATTATTTTTTGTCTTTTTTCGGGATAAAAAAAAGGTGACCAACTTAAATACGTTTATTGATCCTTAATCTGTTAAATATTTTAAAAAGAGGTCATCAATGTCCGATGGTATATGATATATTTCATTTTAAATGATATAAGTTATATGGTATTATTAACATTTAATTTTGATTACCTAAAATTCTTATTTTTTTTTTTTTTTCGTCTATTAATATATTGACTTTTATTTTATTTTTCTGTTTATAACACAGAATAAGAAATATATCCAACTATTTAGTTAATATTTTTGATTTCAGTTACTTTTTTCTATTATACTGCTGATACATATGTTCTATTTTTGTTGTTGTGAAAAATATCGTAAAATACATTAGATCAGCTTATTGATTTTTATCTACGTATGATCTACACATCGCTATTAGATCATCGACGAAAGTGTGAATCAATGAAACAAACATGATTCATACTATTCGACTCATTCGATTGTAAAAGTTACGTATATACGTAAATTGCATTCCTTAGAATAATTTAAAGTAGACATACCATTTTATCGGAGTGTATTTGATCTGTTGTAATTTAATTTTAACATAATCGTAAGGAATCTCTTAAAGAAACAAGATCAACTTTGTTGCAGTGAAGTGTTAATCGAGAAACATTTATAAAGAATAACAATTATTTTTTAAATATTAAATTACATTTAATATCTGATAAATGAACATTATCAGAATTTTATTGTAAGTTCAAAATGTAAATTATTTCCTTAATAATTTTTTACATCGAATCTATATAAATTTATTTTATATTTAATTACGTTGGAATTAATAGCTGATCAGTGCGCATATAAACATTGATGATAAATGATTTTAAATGCAATATGAATACGACATGAATTAAGAATATATATATATATATATATTTCCTATGCGCATTTATATTTACGTATAATTTTATTTGACATCAAATACATATCCAAATATACATTTATATCAAATCACATAAATAATAAATAATTTCTTAAATTTATTTTATTATCATAACAAATATAAATAACTGTACAATATAATAAATCATAAAATCAATTTATCAGTTCACTGCCATTAATATAATAAGATTTCGATTAACAGGTTTAGGTTTATCCGATGTCTCAATTAAACCAAGCTCTTTGTTATCGAGGTTTCGTTTATCCGTTATCTTATATTTGTTTATAAATATTCGAGATAAACAGTAGAAACCTTGATTTATCCGTATCGTTTATATCTCAATTACATTAGTTAATCTAGGTTCTATTGCATGTATATATATATTTATATTCATTCACGTAAAATTATAAACAAATAATTAATTAATTAAATTAATTTTAATTACAGAATGACGAAATGATCGCAAGCCTGCCGATAAATAGCGGCGGCAGTGGAGGGCCGGTGAGCCGCGTGGGTCGTGGACTAACCCTTCACAGATCCAACTCAAGTTTAGAACTACCTCACAGTCCTGATCCCGCCTCTCGGGTCCCGGAGACACCCCTCAGAAGGGAATATGGATCTCACGGTGAGTTTCAATTGCTTCTTATTTGTCTGCTTTTTTTTCCATCTGTTTTGTTGTCTCTCGCAAAAAACATAGTTTATATCTAAAAAGTATCTGAACAACTGAATTCTAAGATATTAGAAATTAAGTTTTTTCTCATTTTTTTTTTATGAAAGATTTTTAATTATTCTTTTTATTAATTCACGTGAATTATTACATTTAACAAAAAATTATTTACGATAATTTATAACATGTAAATAATATAAAATTGTATAATATAAAAAAATAACAATAGATATTCAGATAGACAATATTATCATAATCAATACGGATTTTGTATTAAATTGTTCATTTAAATATTTGAAATGTTATTATTAAATTCACTAGATACATTTAATTATTATTTTAACAAGCATTAAATGACTCAGGTTATTGATCGATTATTTTATTTATTATTTGTAGTCATTCATTCATTTTAAGAAAAAAATAAAATTATATTGGAATAATAAGAATTTTCGTTTGATTCATTTTACTTTTCTATATAAACAATATAAAAATTAGACAAAATAAATAAAGTAATATACATTGTCATAACATTTATTATTAAACTGGATTATAAAACTTGTTCTCATTTAGTGGTATTAAGTACTAACTATTAAAAAAATGTATTTTAAATATAAAAATTAATAATAAAATGTAGAAAAATCCTATAAGTTAAGTTTGATTTTTAAACGTCTCGTATATGATACATTTGATATTAATTTATTAAAAAAAAAAAAAATAATAGAAAAAGATATATTGGTTATTAAATGAAATATAAATGTGCGATTGTTATGAACAGGTAGCATCGACGTAGTAGCCGCCCAAACAGTCACAGTCAATGATAATATCTTTGCGATGCTACAAGATTTTCGACCGACGGATCAAAGAAGTCCAATAAACGTGGATTATCTGAGACGTGTTCAAGATACTCAGTCGGCGCAGGACACTGACGAGGTCTGTGGACCAACTGGTGGTGGTTCCAGTCCGAAATTACGATTAAAGTTAAACAGATTTTGGGGTGGTAAATCACCTCGTGCTATGGAAGAAACTTGTGGTAGTCCAGTCGTATCGGCTGACGTCGAGGAGCGACATCGTAGGCGAGCATTTGCTCATTACGATTGCCAATCGCTTACGGCTAATCTCGGTTACGCTGCTAAGCTACGAGGTATACTTTTAGCGAGAAGAAGAAACACGGCAACCGGTGCTTCGGCTGCTAGCGCTTTAAGAGCTTCAACTCCAGACGAAACTCCTGAAGAAGATGCTGGAGATGGAAAAGGTAAGAGAAAAGATCTATTTTCTTATTATATTTGTATGCGTATCAATAATTATGATAATGGACTAACGATAAGTTAAAAAATTAAAAAAAAAACCAATTGATTTTATTATTTATTTTATATTACGATTATTTATATCGTAAAATAAATTTAAATCATATTTTTACTTAATCAACTGTGATAATAAGCAACATATGTATGTATATGCATCAATGATATTTATTCGCTGTAAAATATAGCTTAATTAAATTATGTCATATTTATAAATAATATCAATTAATGTTATGCAAAGTGGGTCAAAAGTCTGGACTTAATCAAATATCTCATAAATTATGTAATTTTTATAAAACTTAGGATCCATCATATACATATATAATATTACGTATTATATCTCAATTTTACTGTAACATTTTAGCAATTTTAAATGATTGAGTACATAGCTTTAATAATTTATTTAAATTTGATAAAAAAAACTTTTAGGAGAACTATAATATTATAAATAATCAATAACAGAAATAAAAATTTTAAAAGTTGTTAGCTGTTTACCTATTTAATTACGAAATAAAAGTTATTAATCAAATTTACAGAACTATCAAAAATATTAATTTCTTTATTTGATTAATTCTTTTCGTGTATATGATAGTACAAACTTTTAAAAAATATCATGTGGGCAGATCACACGTGTTAGAACTGAAACCTTCGAAAAACTAAGTTTCGAGAGAAAGAGACGACTGCAGAATATCAGGAGTAGGATAATTGTTGGGTTTATTTGTTATAATAATATTATTATATTATTGTTATCACATTCAAAAATTATTATACGTTTTATTGAAAACATATATAAATAGATAACATATTACACAGCAAGCAAGTTCTCAATTCAAAGAAATGAGACGAGTTGCTTCTGGTAACTAAAAAATGCATGGTAACTAAACACCTCTGTTAGTGTAGTAAACACCTCTATAGTAAGGTTTTTTCCGAAAAGTAGTAAGGTTTTTTCCGAAAAGTAGTGAGGTTTTTTCCGAAAAGTCCGTAGGGTCTCGTCGGATAAGTCCGTAGGATCTCGTCGGATAAGTCCGTAGGGTCTCGTCTGATAAGTCCGTAGGTTATTTCCGATAGGTCTGTAGGGTGTGTTTAATTAGGCTTTGTAGAAGAGTCTCGTAAACAAGCCTCGTTAAAAAGCCTCATAATCGAGTTTCTTGTATTTACAAACTTTTCTATTTTATTGAAACATTAGCATAATTTTCCTAAATACGCAAACATTATAATTAAAAAACATGTCTTTGGATATTTATAAAAAAAGTATTCTACAATGTTGTCTGATTCTTTTTCTCTCATGTATCTTATAATCAATTATTTTTTTTGTAAAATTTGGCAGACAATACAATTATTTTAATCTATATATTTCATAATCATTAATAAGAATAATATTTACGAAATAAATAATTTAATAATATTTTTTCAATAAAATAGAAACATTTTTAAATAGAAAAGAAATGACACGTTTGGTAAAAAAAACATACCCACGCACCTTCTTTGTTTATGTTGACCGTCGGTTCGTTTGGATCTTATACTTTTGTCGCATACCATACCTACGTACTTATCTCTGTTTATTCTTTTACCCTTCTATCGCTCCTACCTACCAACATTTCGAGTATCGAAAGAATATGTGTGTTTACGCTTTGTAGTATGCAGTCGCACTCAAACACACACATATACAACCAGGAGCGATAACTACGAAGCATAGCATAAAGAGGAGACCGAGAATAGGAAAAATTGTATAGCTATATTCCGTCTCATTCCCTCGCAGTCTAAATCCTATGTTTGTCTCTTTTTCTCTCATTATTTAGTATGGCAACCGTTTCATAGCTTCGTTACATAGCTCCGTTCCCGTTTATTTACTTTTCAGATCACTCCCATTCTAAAGAAGTTTTCACTTCAAAAAAACAACAATAATCGAATCTCTTATTAATAATACAATTCAATAACTGGAACAAATCTTATTATTAGAGTATCGATAACAGTTAACAATAGATAATAATCAATAGAATCTGTTGGGTTAACAGGCAACGACCTTTTGGAATCGTGTCCTTTCTTCCGGAATGAGATTGGAGGTGAAGGGGAACGTGAAGTTGGCCTTACTCGTTGCCCACACGTTAATGGAGTTCACAGGCCAGCGTTATCCTATGGTGTCTCGGTTTTGGAACCTTTACCAAGTGAAACATTATGGAAACACACGTGCCCAGTACAAAAACGGCCACTTCCAATCGAAAGCGTCGATGAGGGTGCTCATTATTATCGAAAATACTTCTTAGGTAATTAATTCAATAATTAATCGCTGGAAATAATTTCTATTAGTTTAATTAATGATAATGAATGCTTTTTTATACAGAAATTTTTGTTAACTCTCTTTAATGCAATTTTATTTCGTATCTACAAAAATATTAATATTATTTATATTCTTACATAATTGCAACTTATACTTTAAACTTGGATATGAAGTAAAAATTAATTTTGTAGTAAAAAAATAAAATATAAAACCTACAAAATATATACATACAAGTATATGACTTTACGTTATATAAGATTAACATGTAAACACACTTTTTATTTAGTTTAAACACACTTATGTATTTTTGTTATCATATATGTTTTATTTATTTTCTTTCCAATATGTTATATAATTAATGTATTTTTTTTTTTTTTCTACAAATTTGTAGGTCGAGAACATCAAAATTGGTTTGGTATGGATGAACAATTAGGTCCAGTAGCCATTAGTATCCGTAAAGACGTTAATCAATATCGAATAATCGTAAGAACGTCAGAACTGTTAACCTTACGTGGTTCGGTGCCTGAAGAAGCATTAGGTATAAGGCTCCAAGGTAGAGTACCAACAAGAGAACTTTTGGAGTTAGTCGCACCGGAAGTACAATTAGGCTGTCTCAGACTTGGAACGGCTGCCGCCGAAGAAGCTGTTGCAAGATTGGATGAACAGGGTCTTTCTAGCAGGTACAAGGTCGGCGTGCTTTACTGTAGATCAGGTCAAAGGACAGAGGAAGAAATGTACAATAATCAGCATGCTGGACCAGCATTTCTCGAATTTCTCGATACAATCGGTAAGCATAATGTATTTTCTTAAAATTATTTAATAAACCGATTATTTATTAAACGAAAATCATGTAAAAATCTATTACATTTTATTGTTTTGTCCGATTTTTATATGTTGTCTTTTATGAGTTTTATTTTCCCTTTTATGAGTTCGAAGTCACTTTTCTGCGAATACCTTCTAACACACTTATTTAATACTATCAAAGAGGTCGCGTCTTTTTACCGCTTCTTTGGACTCAATAAGCACACGACTTTTGTGTCTTGTTTTTCCGGACTGGAGTCATCCATCCATATTACATACTGTGACTAGGTTACTTGATTTTAGTGATCGGTAAGGAACTAGTCTATCTAACATAGCTATGCAATTGACTGTTTTATTATCGTATCATTATTTTTTAATTGTATAGACGAGAAAAAAATAATAATAAATCTTTATATCCCAAAATTTGTAAATTCTTCTTTAACAAAATGTCAATGAAGTCTAAAAATAAAAAAATAATAAATGGAACAATCGACGTCCCACATAAATTCTTGGAAAAGTTTTCAACGACTAAACGGCGCACTATCGTAGGGAAAAAAAGTCGGCTACGTGTTCGAAACTCGAGCGATGCAAAAAGTTACTCTAGCACAGGTGTAGTCGCTGGATTTCCAAGAATTTATCGAAACTAAAACGAACGATCGAATGATAATCCCTTAAAGAGAAGTTCTTTAAAGGAGATCTTTTCAATAGAACATCTTACTTATTTTAAGCTCTAATAAATACATTATTTATATATTTAACAAAAGAAGAATTATACTAATTATTAAATAAGTGTTAACATTCAAACAATGAAAAATCCTTATTACGGTGTTAGTGCTTATTTTAAAAAATTCATGAAAAAGTTAGGTCTTACATGAAATAACTTTTTTAGGGAAAATATATAAAAAGAATTTTACTTAAACTAGTTGTATTAGAAAATAACTAGGTAAAATATGAATTCACGAGAGATAATATTTGTTATTATATGTATTTAAACATGAAAACTCTAACGTTAAATTAATTATATTATAAATCTATCCATAAAGAAAATATAATATTGTTAATGTATAATAATAGGCCAAAGAATAAGACTGCGAGGATTCGAAGGTTACAAAGCTGGTTTGGATACTAGAACAGACTCAACGGGTACTCATGCAGTAGCTGCTACTCATCGGGGAGCGGAAGTTACGTTTCACGTGTCGACGATGTTACCCTTCACACCGAATAACCGGCAGCAGCTGTTAAGGAAGAGACATATTGGGAACGACATAGTGACAATAGTCTTTCAGGTAAGAATAAGAAATAAAAGAGAAAGAAAAAGAGATCCAAAATCAACAATATATCCGAGTTTAAATATACAAACCACAGTGAATAATCACTGTCTGGTTAGCAAATGCAAATAAAATAAAATATAAAACTTACAAGAATTACATCTTTTTTTTTACGAAATTAATTCGAGAGTATATAAATAAAGTTATTATAATATTGTATATGTTACTGTGAAAGGCTGAAATTAGAAAATGTCAAGATTCATGGTCGTTTATCAATATGTCGGTGAAAGACCGATAAAAAATGATAATTAGAAATTATATAATGTAATTATATGTTTCATATAATTGTTCTAATTTGTGGCCTTTGAATTTACTGTTTTACATCTACCTTAATTAATATTTCTGTCAAATCGGTTATAATTTACAAATATTTCTTATATTTTATTAATAACTTCTTCAAATACAGAGATATTTATGTACGATAATTTATTATCTTTTTTTTCTTCTATTTTTTTTGTCTTGTTATTTCTTACTCATTACTGTTATTTTTCTAGATTTTTTTCCTGTTTCTAATTCTTTGAACATTGTTCTCAGGAGCCGGGAGCTCTACCGTTCAGTCCTCGAAGAATACGTTCACAATTCCAACACGTGTTTATAGTCGTAAAAGCCATTAATCCTTGCACGGACAATACGCAGTATAGCGTAGCTGTTTCCAGAAGCAAAGAGGTACCTATTTTTGGACCACCTGTTCCACCAGGAGCGACATTTACAAAGGGGAAAGCTTTTGCGGATTTCATTCTTGCGAAAGTAATTAATGCCGAAAATGCGGCACACAGGTAATACAAGAATTTATTGTAGATAACTAACGTTTTCAATTTTATTAAATAACCGGAATTAAAAACGTTTATCTTTTTGTAGATCAGAAAAGTTTGCCACAATGGCGACAAGAACGAGACAGGAATATTTAAAAGATTTGGCAACTAATTATTCTTCTGCGACAGTAGTCGACACTGGTCAAAAGTTTTGTAAGTTTTATATTATATTAAAATATTTATTATAAATATTTAGATTATATATCATTTATGATATGATAATAGATGTAAATATTTGTATTTAATTATTACTTTTATTAGATAGAATTGTTCCTTATTCTCATTTTTTTAAATTTTATTTTTAACAGCGATGCTGTCCTTCAGCAGTAAAAAGAAGACAAATGTTAGACCAAGATTATCTTGTGATGCATCTCAGCGCGGTGCGATTTGTTGGCAGGTCATTCTTGAAGATAGTAATCAAAACACCGATTGCTATCTTGGAATAAGCATTGATACTATCGTACTAATCGAAGAACATTCGCGACAAATCGTCTTTGTGACTCCTTGCGTCAGCGTTCTTGGCTGGCATGCTCAGACCAATAGGTGAGTTTACTTGAAACTTTCTAATAGCACTACAGTCGCAATTTTTATCATTATCGGAGAAAATCGTAGAAACATTAAATATATTTTTATTTTAATTCTTTCTTAATATCATATAATTTTATATATGTGCGTATTTTCTAATAAACAATTAATTTTGCACTAAAAAAGTTAATTATTAACTCATATCCGAAAATATAATGTTTATTTATATATTCTGCTATTTTAAATAATGTAATTAAATTAGAAATAAATCGGTTTATCGAAAGAATTACTTTAATTAAATTTAAATAAGAGTATAACGTGATAACTTTTTTTTTAAACATAATGTCTCAGTAATTGAATGATAAAAATACATATTTTAAACTGATTAATTTATCTATTTTTAGTTTGAATTAATATTCTATATTACGCAAAAATATTGTGCAATTTATGAAACAAATCCAATAATTAATTCTTTTGCAGCCTAAGATTGTATTATCATCAAGGCGAGTGCATAACGATCCATGTGCGTGGCGATTATGGTGAACGCGATGAATTGATGGAAATAGTTGCACGATTGCGAGCGGTGACGCAAGGTGCACCAGCATCTGAACTTTCCCTCAAAAGAAACAACGTCGGACAATTAGGTTTTCACGTACAACCGGACGGTGTGGTGACTCAAGTCGAAGCTATGGGACTTTCATGGCAAGCTGGTCTTCGACAGGGCTCGAGACTCGTCGAAATTTGTAAGGTTGCTGTATCAACGTTGAGCCATGATCAGATGATTGATCTTTTAAAAACCAGTGCTCAAGTTACTGTCACTGTAATTCCACCCACGAACGAAGGCAATCCCAGAAGGTAAATTTTTTGGAAACACGTTGAATGTGTTCATTTCATTATAAATAATATATTATTATTATTATTATTATTATATTTGATTTAAAGAACAATTCTATCTTTTTTGTTATTACGAAAATTGTCCAAGAAGTGAACAAAATTTGTCTACAGATCTTTAAATATAGTTGTATATTAAATATTTATGTTATATTGATTCTTTTGACATCTGTTATATAAATTATATTGAATAGACCATAATATAATTATGTAGTAACTAAAAATTCTTATTATTTTGACAAATAATTGCTTTGCCGTTAGAACTTGGAACGCACAATGTTTCTTTTTGAATCAGATAAAAAAGAATTTCTTGTTCAAATAAATAAGCATATCTTATTAGAATAAAAAAAAAATGTAAAGTCATTTTAATAAATGACTAGCATATTTATAATATTAAATATTTAAAAATACTTACACACGCACGTATTAATAAGTTTTTTAGCATTCTCGTCTTGCCAATCACGATTAGCTAATTTATCTTTTAACAAAAAAAAAATGCTAATAACTTGAAATGTCATGAGGACGAAGTAAATCAATTTACTTTTTATTTGCAAACATAGAGGATGCCCGTTACAAAATTGTCAGCATCTTTCGAACAATTACGAAGGTGATTATGAAAACGTAACCAACCCGGACAACACGCCGACTCAACAGATTGCCATGTCACATCAAAAACGATACGATCGATCTTTTAGTCCGCCTAGATCTAGCAATAGTTCAGGGTACGGAACTGGATCAAGTTCGAGATCGTTTAATGATCCCAGGTTTCCATTAGAAGGTACAATGACTAGCAGTAGCAGTGGGCACAGCAGTACCGATGATCGTTGGTGAGTAAAACGTAAGGAGATAATTAATAGATCTTTATCGAATTTTCTATTTCATATTTGACGTTCTTTTAGGTACGAATTATGGGAATCACAGGATCAAGATAATAATGTACATCGTACGGATGGCACACCACCACCACCATTGCCAGCAAGACAGAATTATCAATCTCATACTCCGAATAAAGCAATACCAGGACAAAAGAAAGAGAAAGAAAGTCATTATGCGAGTAGCAAACAATTTACTGACAATTCAAAACATCATAATCACGATCACTACACCAAGGAAAGTAGCTATGTTTCGGCCAAAGTCATCCAAGAAAATGCGAGGCACGAGAATTATCAAAGACATTTGGATAACGCTCATCGGAATCAAGATCACGTAACGTCAAATTACGTGAAGTTACAAAAAGAGAAGTTCGAGATCAAACAAGAAAATCTCTATGCGTCACAAAGAGATCTCCTAAAGAACGATTATCAACATCACTCTACTCATCAAAAACTTAGTGCTTCCAATTCCTTACCATTGGCTCAAAACGCTAATTATAGTCTTCCCAAATCTGCCAGTAACAATAATCTTATTCGATATAACGAATTCGATCAGACAGGTCCTAAATACGAGTACGAAGGTAAACCGGATAGAACTTCGAAGTATGAGATACAAGAAGAGAAATTTTCGGACCGAAACACGAATAAATTTGATCAAGAAACGCGTAACGATATACGTAACGATATACGTAATGAAAAACGTGCCACGACAGGTTATGAATACTCAGAAGATTCCTATGAAAAGAGGAACAGCAAATACGACATAGAAATCACCAAATACGATTTGGAAATGATACAACAAAACAACGATAGAAAACATAATAATAATGAAAATAACGATCACATTCGAGAACCAATTAGATACGAAATGCCTCATGAATTTAAAGTTGGTGAGAAAGTAACTTGTTTGAAAACAACTATGTCTGAGCGACCAGTTCCCCACAAGGTCAATGTCGAATATAGACAGACAAAGGACTTTGCTGTAAGTCTACCACCGGAAGTTAGGATTCCGGAAAGCAATTCTAACGAAGTAACAACTTTACCCAGTGAAGACGAACTATCTAATGGTTCAGGAAGCATCTCACCGAGATTAAGAAGAGCAAACAAGCATCGTGCTGGTAATTTAACACCATCGAGTGGTAGCTCGAGAAATCAAAGTCCTCGTCCGAAACCAGGTGTTAGAAATTCTCATCGAAATTCAGCTAATCTCACTTCGAGTACATTACAAGAAGATCTAATGAAACTAATCAATCCTGATTACATAGCTGATGATAGTCAGCTAACGAACAATAATATATCGAATAGCATTATGAGCGCTAACCAAAATGCCAATAAGATAAATAACAATATGCTAGAAATTCAAAACAGATGTAGATCCAGAGAGAATCTTTGCGGTAATAGTGCTTCTACGCTAAGCGTTTTACCTGCTAATGGACAGGATAATGGTAATAATGGTTCGGAAGTTATTTTGACTATGGCTAGACCAGCCACTGTTATCTCTAATGCTAGCACGGCGTCTAGTCCAGCACCAAGCGAAAACAAATTATCCAAGGAGGAAAGGTACGATTAAATTCATCTCTTAATTCATTTTAAAATTAAATATAAATCATAGCATTAATAAAAAAATAAAATCTAATTAAAATCTTCAATCATTATTTGTTATTAAAATAATAAATTAATATTTACATTTTCCATTAACGCAGATTATCACCGCGCGTTACAAAGTCACCACATTCGATGTCAAAGCCTATAAACAATTTAACTTCCATTAAAGACACGAAAACGCACGTAGATAGCGATGTAGATTGTTGGCAAAATCATCATGTAGACTCAAATAATAAAACATCAAAACAGCATCCTCAGGAATGGACAGACGATAGGATTATTGATGGCTGTAATACCATTGCGTGAGTATAAATGATCGTAATCATAACGAAAAAACTATCTCGAAAAAAAACGCGTTAATGATATTTTTGAAATTTTTTACAGAAATTCTGTCTCCGACTTGCAATCTCATCTCTCGACTCTCGAGTTGAGAGTAGCTAGGGAAACACGACGTCGTCTCTCTTTAGAAGATGAAGTTCGTCGTTTGAGAGATGAAAATCGACGCTTGCAGGATGAAAGTCACGCAGCTGCTCAACAACTTCGCCGCTTCACCGAATGGTTTTTCCAAACGATAGATCATCAGTAAAAAAGAAAAAATATAAAGTCTAACTATACTATTATATTTACTACTGATGAAATGAATTGCGATGATCTTCCGAGTCTCGTTAAATCGAGACTAAATCGGATTTAAAGAAAAAATCCCAAGAGCTCGATCATATTTTCTTTTTCTCAATATATATATATATATATGTTTTTTTCATATTGTAATCGTTAAGCTCAATTTAAAGAGAGCATAATAATCGATCTTAAGTGCAGTATTAACATTGCCCTATTTGGGTCAACTACATCGATATTCAAAACCTTCATTTAGTTCATATACATATAAATATATATACACACACATAAACACAAGAAAACATATAAGTATGCGTATATACATACGAATATAAGGAGAAAAATATTCCAACGTACACGTTTAAAAAAAAAAAGTTACTAGATCAGGGAGAAGAAGAATCTTTTGAATGTCGTGTCAAAAGAATTTCCCACCTGCATGTACCATATTAGACTCGTTAGATTACCTTAGTAAGGTGTAAGATATTATTATTATACCTTAGTATGTGTAAGATATTATTCGTTACCACCATGTTGTAGTTGGAGAAAATATTGTCTAAGTATATTCTTAATATATCTAACAAAGGGAATATTACATTTAAAAATTAAAGACGAAAGAAAAAAAAGATAATAAAAGTGATCAACAAGAATTTCAAATAAAAAAGAAGAAGAAGAAGAATAGAGTGCGTTGATTAGAAATGGTAAGTACTTTTGTTTAAAGATGCACGCTAAATAGACATTATAGTAACCATGTAAGTGCGTTTAAAAGGCGACCAAAAGACCAAATATTCCTAGTGTACTAAGGATTTACCGTATAATGCAACTGTAATTTATTACATATTTTATATACCCTTACATTTTAACATAAAACACGTATTCAGTAAATACGCAAATTATAATGAATGTAATCATCATCGAGTGGAATGTTACGAGATCATTCCAAAATGTTTTTTTGATCCCTGTGTGAACATTCTATAACCGTCGTGATTAGATGTAAAATCTTATGATACGATTTCTTTGTAACGTACGGAGACGAGGTTCGTCGAAAAAAGTAATCTATATAAGTCAGCGAATAAAAATCAATACTTATTCGAAAAAACAGTGTTTTGTTTTTCTAATAGTATGGTCTATATAATTAAGTACAGTAAGTATGCAGTGTCTCAACCAAATGTGTCTTCTGTATTATTAAAAAATCTATTTATTTTTTCGAAAAACGCTGAGATGTGTAAATTTTCATTCGAAAGTAGCAAATTCTTGTCATAAACTCACTTATTTTGCTAAACTTTTCATATTGCAAATGTTCAATATGTGTATCGCTAATCTTAATGCAGTGATAACATTTCTACTCACAATCAATAGTACTTTGAACATATTTACAGTACGTTTTTGTAGTACAGTAAAACCTTAATTAATCGATAAGTGTTTATCCGACGTCTTAATTAATCATGGTCTTGTTTATCGAAGTTATTGGATATCCGTTGTCTTATGTTTGTTAACAAACATTCAAATCAAGTCGAGATATATAGTAAATCTTGATTTATTCGCATCATTTATCCCCGATTGCGCTAGTTAAATCAAGGTTTTATTGTACTTTGTATCCGGTGTAATCTTTGGCATCATTTTTAACTTCTAATAATATAGGATACTTCAAAGTCAGAAGCTCATTTGATAAAAACAATAAATTTTCGCTTGATAATGGCTTAAGCTTAATACAAATACATAACGATTAACGAGATCTCAGGGTCTTCCTTGATAATTGCACATCGTATTTTGAAAACGTAAAAATTTGAATTTTTATATAAGCAATTCAATTGGATAAAATAATCGCATGAAAATCTATAAAAATTAAACGAAGACAGACTTTTATTTTGTTTCGATTTTTTAATTTGTTTTTACAATATCTCTAGGAAAATATTCCAATTTATAATTCGTCAGCATTTTATAAAATATATTGATCCTTATTTAAAAGAATATACTCTATACTAAAATTGAAATATATAAAAATAATAATAATAGTAATAATATATTTATCCGGTTTCACAGTTAGGAATAGGATTTATTCACTCATTCATTCTTTTTATTCACTTACACACTAATAATCACTATATATATGACGATCATATACATGTTTAAAATATCAATTTTAGCTCAAAATTATACATATATATGAAAATATATTAGTAACATACATCTAACAAGGGCTATTAAAGATAGCCCTTATAGGTATATTATCTATAAGGATAATTACAAACATTTTTAAAATTTTGTTGTAGAGCACAGTTGTAGGACTTATTTAGGACAATACATTACACCCCAGGAGTAGGTGCCAAAACTTGACACGTTGAACGCCAGGCAAATTCTTACGGAAATCCCCGTCAGGCCACGCGCGTTACTTTGTATTAAGAAGACAGTTGAACGTCAGTCATCTACGATTGACACGGCTTATATTGAAAGTTTTGCCCCCGATCCGGATCGAGAAGTCTGAACCAGTTAGTTGCGTTTACAGCAAAAATCATCCGTAAAGAATTTGAATTACATTGAAATAAATGACTGAATTATGTACATTTTAGTTTGTTTTCGATTTACACGGTTTTATGAGGAACCTATCTTCAATGCAAATCGGGACATAGGTATAATGTAAATAGCGTCTTTTGTGTTGCTTAAATTGTTTTTCAGACGATACGTAATCAGCGACAAAATTCATTTAAAATTTTTCAGTCCTCATTTAATGCATTTCATTTAAACTATTATTGTTTAATAATTTTTTAATTGTATTTAATATTGACTAAGTAGATAGATATTTAAATCGATAAATAAGGAAATTATTACAATATCTTATATAAATATTTCATTAAAATACACCAAATTCCTATTTCAATACTTTGCTTTTCAATTGAATTATATTATAATTAATATCAACCAGTTCACAATATATTTAAACTAATAACTAAAAAGAATTATTATAATTAAGATAAGATAATAAATTCTTATTTTCACGATTTATCAATTCACTTATCTAGTAGCTTACTTTCGAATAATCGAATTAATAGATGTATCATATATCGATAGATTAACACTTATTGTGTTTGATCAACAAAGTAGAACATTTATTCTTTTACTTTCCTGCTCGTAAGATTGTCCTTCTATTTTATTTATTTTTTTTTTTTTTCAATCACTATTATGTTCTTTGTTATTGTCATACGATGATATCTAAAGAATAGTAATGTTTGATAAAATTATGCGACACTGATTCATTTATCAGTAAATTATTTACCTTTTCAATTGACCTTTTTCTACACATCAAAAATCCTATATAGAATAAGATCGATCGATACAACTTTATATAAACAAGACTTTATAACAACCACTATTTTATTGAAAGAAATACAATATATCAACGAAAATAATTCATTTAGAAATGTAGGGAAAATTAAATAAATAAATAATAATAATTTTTTTATTTAAAATAAAATTATAAATAATAGTAATTTTTTTATTTAATGTTAACAATCTTATAAATAGTACTTATAAATAATAGTAATTTTGTTATTTAATGCTAACAATCGATTATATATATTCGATTCAAACTCAGAAAAAGTTTAAATATTGATATTTAATAGGATTTTTAAATAAAAATAAGAAATAAAACAAGACAATAAAAGTTGTACGAAGTAATTTTATTTATTAATTATGTTAATAAAAAGTTATTTTATGTTTCATTCAAACTAGACTGTTAAAATAACACATTTTAAAGTCTTTTATATGTACGCGTTGCTTTCACTCCTGATTTACTCTCCGTTAAATGCTGAAAATGTCATAAAAATGATTATTTTTTATCTTATTCTTCTCATCAATCTCAAATTTTATTTTATAATTTCATAAACACATAATTTTATATAGATTAAAATAAAAAATTTAAAAAAAAGGATATATTATGCAATAGTACATTAGTATATATAATATATATACCAAGTTCTTATCATTTAAATAATGTTATATTTCTCTAAAAATAAAATGTTCTTCTGCAATAACATTAACATCAATTAGAAAATTTAGTAATCCTAATATAGGTTTCCGTATATAAGAATTTTGAAGCCTTGCATTACAAATGAATATTAATTATTTAAAATTTACAGTGGGAACAGGTATGAACCCTCTGACTTACGATATATATTATTATAATAATAAAATACTCACAACGGTCATGTGGGTATCCGTAAATTTATAATTTCGAATACTTTTCACTCCTGAAGCCAATTTAGTTTCAGTCACAAATCCATCACCTTCTTTAGTAGTAAAACTCTGAAAGATAAATTTGACGATTTATTAATTGTTTATTTCATTTATTTTCATTGTTATAAATAAGACCTAAGAGAGATCACACGAAATACATCTTTTTCTATATGTATTTATACTATGTTAAAATAAATAAAAGAATATATATATATATGAACACAAATTTAAATAACTACGACACAACACTAATGTAAGTTCTTCCATTTGGTAATTCTTTTCCAAATGATACAAAAGAAATAGAAGATTATCAAACTACATCAAAATATAGATCACAAAGAAAAACAATAGATGAAAATGAAGAAGATGAGACCGACCTTGAGAGTACCACTAAAAGATGGCATGTTTTCATCGTATTCTTCTCCTAATTTGAAAGTTGTCACAGCAGTTTTACCATTGCTCTCAATAGTGACAACCCATTGATCTCCATTCTGAGAGATTTCGATGATCGGTTGAGCGTTCAAAAAAGGTTTCGCCGTTTCATATTGTCCAATTGCTTGGAGATATTCCTCGAAATTTTCTCCGGAGACGTATTGATATCTTCCAGTTACTTGCACCATTTTCTTCGATTTTATCTCCTTTTTTACTTTCTTCTTTTTCTTTCACTTCTTTCTCTTCTATCGAAAGATCGAAGCGATTCTCTTCTCTGTTACGAGGTGATGGTCACGTTAGCAATAAGACGTCGAGATTGACCATCCGCTGCTTTTATAACGACTCTTATGCGAGGGGGGATCGACCCCTTGTGTCTTTATCACTCGTTCGATCATTCTCTCTCTTTTTGTCTATCATATACGTTCTACTCTATCTATACTTTATACATCGATGCATATACATACATATATACATATATATACAAACGTGCGTCAACGAACGTATACATACATGCACACATATCAGACTAATTGTAAGTTGTTCAATCTATAATGATCTGACAGAAAGGGTATTCTGTGGATTATCGTCGATAAAGACTAAACTTTGGATCAATATTTATCGTTATGACAAAATTCGTCTATATATTATTTTTTTTTCTTTTCTTTATTTTCATTTTAAATGAAAAATTTCTTTATACACATATATAAGTTTTTTATTTACTTTTTTATTTACTTTATTTTATTTTTAATTATATAAAACTTCCGTTTGTCTCTTTCCATCTGTAATTCGAAGCCACAGATACGTACAAAGATTGATTTTGTAATCATTAAAATCACGAAACATTGATCCTCGATTTTGTCATGATTTTAACGACTTTAACGATTTTACAAGAGTTCGTCGGTCTCACTAATTTAACTAACTACTTTAACTAGGCAATTAACGTAGTGCATTAGCAAATTGGACCAACGAGTTGAGATTGACGTACCATTCTCTCATAGAAAATGCTTTCGAAGTATGTCTCCTGTTGGACTATTGTTATGTTTCTTATTTTATTGTGATATTCCTATCAGATATTATAAGAATAATTGGAAGTATTAAAGAAATTAGTAAAATATAAAGAATTTTTTCTAAAACGATGATGATTGTTGTCAGATTAAAAAAATAAATAAATAACTTCATAGTGAGATGCACATTTACCACACTATACCAAAGTATTTGACTCTTATAGATTTTATTTCTGACCAATCGTGTTCCCTATCATATCTCTGCTGTCTGTGATTTTAATAAAACCATTCCCCCTTAGAGAAAAAGAGAAAGTGAGAAAGAGAGAGAGAGAGAGAGAGAGAGAGAGAGATGATTGTTGGGATATGCATGAATTCGAGTTAACGTTCGCACTTAACGGACACGCAACCATATGTATATATACACACATAAGTCCACCCTTTAATGTTAAACGAAAATAATCATCATTTAGTCTGAAAAATAAATTTTCCGTTAGGTAAAAAGTATCATTTACTTATCAATATTTTTCCTTTATCTTAAACAAGAAATATTACAAATTTAAAAATTCATATTATTTAATCTACACCTACGACAGAAATATAAAAATTGTGTTTTTTCCTATCTATCTTAACGTAAATTCCCATCGTCTTTTATACATATCGTGATTCGAAGCGCGATAATTAGTCTGCAAGTGTAATAAGAATTTCAAAGTATCATGACAAAGATATTAACGTAGAATGATCGAGATTCGAATAACTTTTAAAATATTAAGATCGTAAGATATCGTCAGGCAAAGAAATCTATTTGATCAGAATAGATTACTTTTCTTTTTTTTTTCTCAAGGTAGGGAACAATATAATACGGTGGCACTCGAAGCTATGACGTCGGGTCTTCCAAGCCATAAGTACGGCCTTGAATTGACAACTAATTGCCAGTGATGACCATACATCAAAGACCTAGACGATCGGCAGTCACGTGATCTTCCGTTTCATGGGATGAATGAGCTTATTCCCATTAAGGAACCGTACGAAGCTCACGTACGAGGCATACGTACAAACGTGTTGAGCACACCTACAAAATCTTTCGAAGTGACCCGACGGCCAATTGAATTTGTTGCAAGTCTTCCCCTTTTGTTGATCGCGGTCCGCGGCATGATCGATATACAACGGCATTTTAAAAGCACCGTTTGATAAGCGAATGATACTTTGCAGTACCGTGAATTTGCGGAAGTTGGCACTTGTACTGACGTGTATCCCGATTGCCGTGATGGCGATTGGACGACGATCGCAGGGGGACACTTAACGCTCGATCGTCGAGAAAGCGCGTTTGCTTTAGAAAGCAACTGTAATGAGATATAAGAATCTTTCTTCTCACTTTAATTTTTCCTTTTTTTCCCCCATAAAGAAAAAAAAAGAAAGATAAATAAATCAAACACGTCTTTTATGGACATATAAATACATATATACAATCTTCCCTTCATAATCATGATTTTGTGCGAACGTCTACTTTGAGATTAAAAATATGATCGAAACTGATAACATCAGATAAATTGTAATCATCAGTTATTGTTACGATAGCGCATTGACAATAATCTACTTATATAATACTAAAATTTACCAAACACCGGACTTTGTTCTCCGGTGTATTATTAAACGATGATTATTTAAACGATAAAATAATAACGAATGGATGTTAAATAAGAATGAATTGACTACCAATGAAAAAAAATGATAACAATCGGATGTTGTAATAGTAACAGCTTTATTTGCTCTTTTGCAAAAAATCAAAGATTTCTCCTTTGGTATATTTTTAATGGGCTATCGACCAAACTTCGTTTTGGCTTGATTTATGTTTAACTTATGTTAGTTTTGCATTTGATCGACTATGCGCTACAAGCTTTTCAATAGCTAAAGCTATCAATTACGCTCTGTGTGTACATGTGTGATGTTTGTGTATATATATATATATATATATATATATATATATATATATATATATGTGTGTGTGTGTTAAATAAGTAAATAAACAAATTATACAATTATTTTCTAAACCTTTTGTAAAAATAAACAAATATAAAATATAATATGTAGTTTCATATATGCATATCTTCGTTGAAATCTTGTATGTTTCCATTAATTAAACCAATAATTCTGTATACATTAAATATATAAGTGCGTCTGTATGTGTGCTCATCTATATAAATTAGTAATAAATATTTATATCTTAAATCTAAAGTTATAACGCAAAGTGGAATGGAACGTTTGCCGCTAGCTTCCATTCATTTACACATTCTTTTGTACATTATTAAAGTAACGTAGGCAGTTGAGAATATCATCAATCTTAAGTAAGTACATTGTGTTTCTGTGCACATTTTTTATCGACAAATTACAATCTGCATAAACAAAATAAAAGAGGTATAAAAGCTCCTATAGCTACAAAGACAGGTAACATTACAGAAGAATCATCAATGGAATACGGATCTGGAGTTCTAGGTCCACTCGTATGCCTACTTCGAACTGTTGATTCTTCTTCATCCTCCTGTATATTGGGATATTCCTCAGCTTCTTGAGGAATTGGACCTAATTGAGGAACATCTAAAACATATATCATATACAATATTACATTACGTTGATTACGTTGAGACAAAATTATATTTTCATTTCCCTTTTTTTTTGGTGGAAATATAAAAAAATCTATATGAAAATTCACCTTCTGCTTTTCCTTTAATAACTGCAATTGCATTTATCTTAGGATTGTCTCTATAACCCTAAAAGAAAAAATAAATGTTAGTTACTAAAATTTATCTTTCGAAAGTTTTTTAACATAATAAACAGGTATATTACTTTTATAAATTCAACTCTTATTTTTCCTGCTAATATATCAGATTCTTCATCATTGTATATTAATTTTCCATCTTGTACTTTAAATGGAATATATTCATCGTGTGCGATACCTCTGCCCACTCTTTCAAAAATGTCCAAATCGGTGACTACTGTATGATCTCCGTTCAATACCACATCGAACACCTGATAAATGAATACAATTAAATCATTAATTATTAAATATCTAATACTTAGAATTCTATAATAATACAGAAATTTAGTTTTTTATATAATAAATATATAAAAAATAAAGAGCCTGGGTATACCTTCATGTTTGGTGAATTAAAATAGACTTCGCAAAATTTTAAAATCATGACATATTCTCCATCTTCGCTTATAGGTATATCATATCCAAAAGTACTATGATGATAACGCTCTGTTTGATACAATATTTGATCTATGCTATTAACACGACCAATGAGTAATTGCTTGCCATAGTCTGAAGCAGTACCGACTTTCCCCATTAAAGGGTCTCTTGCATAACGAATTCCATAACTATCAGAGTGTGCTTCACCTCCAGCATTTACTGCATATATCACTTCTAAACAAGATGAATCTAACACACAACTGCTCCAAATCACTGCATATAACAAGAATAAATCTAACCTCCATTTTAAAGAACACATTTTCACCCAATTGTTATCATACGAAATAATAACAATTCAACTTTTTAGAAATAACAATATGTTCATGACTCTAATCTTGAATTTTTGTAATAACCTGAATTAAGTTTATAACCGTTTTTGGTATAAAACTTAAAAAAAAAACAATTTAATATAAGATCATATATAGATGATAGATAAAAATTCGTTAAGAGATAATAAACATATAATTTAAATGCCTTTAGAAACCACGAATAATATCTGTCAGATTAAACTATAGAAAAATAATTCTATTTTAATTCACATACACCATCGACAGCTGCTAACGTCCATGATTATTATCTATTACTAAGTCGTGCATTCATCATTCTTGACATAGTATTGTCGCAGACAACGCTATCTATTTAAAAATGTATTAACACGTTCCATGCCATATGTACCACAAATGGTACATGCTAAACTTTCCATTCCGGTCTTGTGTACTATCGATGGTACACACTGACATATTTATTTAAAGCAAAGAATATAGAAGTACATTGAAGCTCACAAATCCAGTTTTTTATCTAGCCAGATTCATTGTAGTTATGCACCGGGCATAATTAGTTATCACAAGTGGGCGATAGTAGGTACTTAATGCGGTTACAGTACAATCTATCAAAGAATGGTACAATCATCAAAGAAGAGTACAATACTATCAAAAAATACAGTATCGCCCACTGGTGGTTACGGTAGTAATTAAGATGAATCTTGTTAGATAAAAAACGGGACTTATGAGCTTCTATATACTTCTGTGTATTCTTTGCTTACAAAAATGAATTATCTTTACTTTTATCGATAAAATAGAAAATACAAAATTTAGATTTATCTATGGAGCAGATCATTTCGAATCTAGTTGTTTTACTATTCTCACCCTACGTGACAAGTAAATATTGCAGTATTCTTTGGTAACGTGATATGCATTGTATGTAAACAGAAATAAATTCGTACGATTCTTTATCATTACAACGTTTAGTAAATATTATGACGTTCTCACAGGCTCATCAAACAGAATTAATTGCACTCGCAGATTTAGCTGGAATTACTGCGACTCCTGGTGTCTTTCGGTAATATTTCTAATATAAATTTCTTAACAGTTTCGTATAACCTATAAAGTAAAGTTTCGTGTTATATTTCTTTTTTTTGTTTATATATATAAATTTATCGAGATCAAATGGAGTCAAATGTATAAAAATGTATATTAAATTATTTTTATATTATCATCGTATATTAGGATTGCAATAGAACTTTTGGCGATGGAAATATCACCGGAAGACATTTATTTTCTTCTCAAACAAATCTGTTCGAAGACGCCTTCTGAATACTCGTCGACATCTAAAAATTTGGATACTCAACCTGAGGAGGATGAAAATTCTGAGAAATCTTGATGGTTACCTTCTTTTTTGATAAATTTTATAGACTTTTTAAATGATTTAAAATGTATATAATTGTAATCTAATTGTAAATCAAATAAGACGCTGTTACATAATTTGTATTTAAAAAAATGTCGTTATTTATCCTATACTTTTAAAGTCAGCTTTCAATTTTAATAATACCGTTTCTTCCCATTGCCAAATTTTCAAAATTGAAAATGTATTTATTTTTGATATAAACAATTTATTATTAACGTATACCAAATAACATGACCTCCATGCATATATATATATATATATATATATATNATATATATATATATATTTATGTAGTATAGATTCAGTTATAAATTAAATTAGAAAAGTGTATTAAACTACCAGCGATCTTATTTATCATAAAAATATTTTAAACAAATTATATAAGAATAAAATTAATAGTGTTTAATATAGGAAATAAACATGCATAATTTTCTTTGTATTCGACCTTATAAACAAGAAGATACACCGTACTGCAAAGAACTAGCTGAAAAATCTGTTATGTCTTCATTGAATTCGATATACTCTAATCTTATGATGACAAGTTTACGTTATCAAATTCTATTTACGTTCTTTGTTAGCAAGTTATACTGGCCGAATATTTCTTTTCCTTATTGCTTAATATATCCACTTATTATTGCATTTGCGATATATATTACACTACATGTACTAGCCTGGGAACTAGTTCAAGATTTCCAAAAAGATCTATTTGATGTTACACGGTATTATATCTTTTATATTTATTTGTTTCAATTTATTTCCTTTGCTTATTAAATAAAATTATTATTTAGTTTTAATTATGCTTTAAAAAAAAATATTTGTTTTTAAAATAGGAACTACAACGAAAATGGTGATAAATGTTTTTGGGTAGCTGTAGCATATAACTATCGTCCGTTGAATTGCTTTCGACCATATTTACATTATACATGGTTAACCGAAACAGAATTAGAAAAATATAACATTAATTTATCCGATCATGATAAAAAAATAGTAGGTTTTATTGGAGTGAATAAAAATGTTAGATCTAATAATTCTGCTTCAGTAAATGGATTTCTTGTTCATAATGATTATGCTCGGAAAGGAATAGGAACTCAACTCATTAAAACTGCTCTTCAATTTTGCGATAAAAAAAAATATACACGCTTAAATTTGCAATTATTTGATTTGTTGACAGACGCTGAAATTTTGTGTAAAAAATTAGGCTTCGAATACTATGACACACAGTCAATATCTTTTTTTCCAATATTCAGAAAAATAAAAATATATGAATACTCATGTCTAACGGATTTTGCTAAATCTACACTCCATATTAATTATAGTGGAATCCATTAATATTGTTCATTTATTAGCTTAAGAAAATCACGTTAGAAGATTCGAAAATTTGTCCGACGTTTAGAGAAATTTTTCAGACAATGAAAATGTTATAAATAAGCTTAAAGAGTGTAAGTTAATTAAACGTCAAATAAGTACGAAAAAATGTATATACACGATTTCATTAATATGCAATAAAAAACTATAACTTCAGAATTGCAAGCTTCTATTCACACAGAATACAGTATATAAATGCTTCACGAAGACGAAAAAGACGATTATTTAATTGCTGAATAGACGGAGGACGTGTCGTAAACAATTAAAATTCATTATATCATGACATTGATTATTGAAGAAATATTTCATTTTATTATTTCAAATATATAATATATATTTAAAAATATATATTTAAGAATATATATAATATATTTATCATATATATATAATAAATAATATTTAATAAATAAATAATATTTATCATATATATAATAAATTATCATTTATCTTAGTTGATTGGTTAAACAAGAAATATCTTTAATGTTATTCGACACTTAATGTCATTCTACAAAAAAAGAAAAATATCTATAGGTATGGCAACACTGAGAACAAGATATAAAATAAAAAACTGCTTTATAAATATAAATTTATATGAATTAATAATAATTTTTTTTTTAAATTAATAATCTGCGTTCACTTATCATTATTTAATCTACTTAATTGATAACTGTAACTTAACAGATACAAAATTTTTAATTATCATTCAAAGTGTTTAATCGCAATATTATTAGAAATCAAAAAAAGCTATTAGTTAATTTATATTTAATTAACGTCATTAATTAATTCTTTACTTTAAATAATATCGTTCTCTTCTGTTGCAAGACTTTTAAAATTTTAAATGTATTTATTCTAGATATAAGCATTTTAAATATAAACAATTTATTATTAACGTTTGTCGAATGACATGACCTCCATATATATGTATATATAGATCTATCTGTGTAGTATGGTTTCAGTTAGAAATTGAATTAGGAGAGTGAATACAACTGCCAGTAATCTTATTTATTATAAAAATACTTTTCTTATTAATCTAAAATTCTATTTCTATTATCTTAAAAATACGTAATTTATTTAAATAAGCATTATAAGTGTATAGACAGTCGCGAGTAAAATTGATAAAAAGTGCTTAATATAAAAAATAAGCATGGAAAATTTTCTTTGTGTTCGACCTTATACAAAAGAAGATGAACCTTATTGCAAAGAACTAGCAAAAAATTCTATTATGGGTCTAATAAATCCGTTATATACTAATTTTATAATTGCAAAAAATCGTTTACAAATTCTACTTGTGCTTGCTGCTTGCAAATTATATTGGTCAGGTACTCCTTTTCCTTATTACTTAATGTATCCGCTTGTTGTTACATATGGAATCTACCTTATACTATATGTACTATTTTGGAAAACAGTTAAAAATTCCCAAAAAACCATATTTGATGCTGCAAGGTATTATTTTTTTTTTAATTATTTTTTTCTTTTTTATTACGATTTATTTGCTTTACTTAATTAAGAAAATTATTATTTATATTAAAATTATGCTTTAAAAAAAAATATTTGTTTTTAAAATAGGAACTACAACGAAAATAGTGATAAATGTTTTTGGGTAGCTGAAGCATATCACCATCGTTCATTAATGTGTTTTGAACCATATTTACGTTATACATGGTTAACAGAAACAGAATTACAGAAATCTAAAATTAATTTATCCGATTATGATAAGAAAATAGTAGGTTTTATTGGAGTGGATAAAAATGTTAGATTTAATAATTCTGCTTTATTAAATGAATTCTTTGTTCATAATGATTATACGCGAAAAGGAATAGGAACTCAACTCATTAAAACTGCTCTTCAATTTTGCGATAAAAAGAAATATACACGCGTAAATTTGAAATTTTTCGAATTTCTTACGGAAAGTATAAATTTGTGTAAAAAATTAGGCTTCAAATACTACGAAACACAGCCAAAATCATTTTTACCATTATTGGTTGGAATAAAAATGCATGAATTCTCCTACTGTACGGAATTTACAAGACCTATATTTAGTATTGAATCCAAAAAACAAATGTTAACAAAAAGTGTAGGAGAAACAGAGATGCAAACACAACCAGAGATACAAACACAAACAAAGATACAAACACAAACAAAGATACAAACACAAAGAAGACGCTACTTAAGACATTTAAATTTTTAAACTTTAAATGCTTTTTTATAAAATACTTTAATCTTTAAATAGTATTCTATTAAATAGTATCTGTAACTATAGCTAATAATTTACTACATTTTTTCGTTTATTTCTAACTTAGAATGTTTGTTTTTTATTTTGTCATTTATATTCTACAATATCTATATTTTGTGCTTAACTTAACTTAAACATTAGAAGAATATATAATCTATATAAAAATATAAATTGTTGATGTAAATTATATGCAGTAATATATTAATACAAATTTCGTTGTCTTATTTGGCCCAAGAGAACGATATTGATACTTACTGTTATATAATATTGCGGCTTTCTAAAAAATTTTATTGTTTATAGACACTATTATTTAAATTTAATATATTATTAGTAATTGACAAATATAGTAATATATATTAATTTAAATAAAGGACGCATTTCTAAAAAATATATATATATATATAAAAGACAATAATCGTCTAGTAGAATGCGTTATTATTATTTTATATATTTCTCTTTTTTCTTCTATTACTAAATTTCATAATAAATAAATTAAATGTCTAATAGTACGAAAAAATGTATATATATATCTATATGATTTGGTTTATATGCAATAGAAAAAAATAACTTTGTGTAATTAAATTAATGTATAATTAATTATAAATTAATGTATAAAAGCTAAAGGGAATTATTTTGAGGATTCAGAATAGCACTAATAAAGCAAATGAATTTTATAAGCTTATTTTAATTTATTTCACATTCTCAGATTAAATGTTAATTAAAGATTGTGTTAATCTATTATACTCACTTATAATTTACACAACTACAATTATCCGTAGAAAATAAAAATTTAATTTTGCTTCAGGATGATAACCTTGAAAACGCCGAAAAAATTAATATTTCAAAGAATGAATTTCCGATAACAATATGTGTCCTTCAAAGCTATTCAAATTCTAATGTTCTAGTTTCAAAGCTATTCAAATACGTATCTATAAATCCAACAGAAATATTCAAGTTTTCTGCTTCTTTTAATACACATTGTATACAATAAGGAACCTAACTGATTCAGTAGAGATTATTTTCCAGTTATATAGTTTTTTTTACTTATGAGTAAAGCATATGACATTTAAAATTAATATTACCGACTCATTGATAGACATTCTAAGAATAGCAAACAATTAAAAATATTTCATATTTAATGTAATTTCGCAAAAAAATGAAATAGGATAAAGTAAATCAGTTCGGTTCTACTAAGAACAGTTTACAAAATGAACAACGATGACTGAGTTTCATAATAAATTTGTTTTAAATATATAAACATTGTATCGAGTTAAGTTATTACTATTTAATCTATTCAGTCGACAACTGTAACCGACACAAATACGAAATTTATGATTGCCACCCAATATATTTAATCATAATAATGGAAATTACATAAAATGCTAATGAATAATTTTTTTGTTTGTAAGAAATGTCGTTAATTAATCTTTTACTTGAAGTAATTTTATTTTTTTTCGTTGCCAAATTTTCCTAAATGAAAATATTGAGAAATACAAACGATTAAAGTGTAGACAATTTATTATTGGGTTGGCAAAAAAGTAATTTCAGTAGTAATAAATATATTAATATTTATAGTAATAAATATTAATTATTACTAATATATTATATAATAGTTAATATATATAATATATATATATATTACTATTATATATATACATATATATATTATTATATTATAAAATAATGTAAATATATAATAATATAATATAATATTATATAATAAATAATATATATAATATATATATATAATATTATTGGATTGGCAAGAAAAAAAACCGACATTACTTTCTTGCTAACCCAATATTATCGAATATCAAAGGACGTTAATTCCTTATAAATAGATATATTTATGTAGCGAGACTTCAGTTGGAATTTAAATAGTTTAGTCAGAATAGTTTGTACAGCTACTAATGATCTTATTTATTACACAAAGCTTTAAACTGAATTATTTCAAATTAAAAACTTGTTATTAAAATAGAAAAACGTTATAAATATATTTGTAGTCGTGCATTCAGTTGATACGAAGTGTTTAATATAATAAATAAATATGGATAATTTTCTTTATATTCGACCTTATAAACAAGAAGATGAACCGTACTGCAAAGAACTAGTTAAAAGCTCTTTAATGGCTTCATTGAATCGGACTTACTATAATCTTAAGATTACAAATAATTTTCTCCCAAATTTGTTAATTTTATTTGTTTGCAATTTATACATGTTCGATATTTATTTTCCTTATTATCTAATGTATCCGCTTATTATTGCATTTGCGGTTTACATTATGATATATCTGTTATTTTTGAAATTAATCCAGGATTTTCAAAAAGAAATATTTGATACATGGTATTATATTTTTAATATATTTATGTTTTTATTTCAATGTATTTGCTTTGTTTGTTAAACTTAATTATTAATTAGTTGCTTTAAAAAGAAATATTTATTTTTAAAATAGGAATTGCAACGCAAACGGTGACAAGTGTTATTGGGTAGCTGAAGCATATCTCTATCGTTCGTTAATGTGTTTTGAACCATATTTACGTTATACATGGGTAACAGAAACAGAATTACAGAAATCTAAAATTAATTTATACGATTATGATAAGAAAATAGTAGGCTTTATTGGAGTGAATAAAAATGTTAGATTTAATAATTCTGCTTTATTAAATGAATTCTTTGTTCATAATGATTATACGCGGAAAGGAATAGGAACTCAACTCATTAAAACTGCATTTCAATTTTGCGAAGAAAAAAAATATACACGCGTAAATTTACTATTTTTCGATTTTCTTACAGAAGAAATTAATTTGTGTGAAAAATTAGGCTTCAAATACTACGAGACACATTTAAAATATTTTTTTCCATTATTAAGTGCAGTAAAAATTCATGAATTCTCTCGTCAAACGAATATTACTAAACCTGCTTTCAATATTAATACAAAAACAGTAACAGAAACAGAAACAGTAACAGAAACAGAAACAGTAACAGAAACAGAAACAGTAACAGTAACAGAAACAGAAGCAGAAGCAGAAACAGAAAAGAAAAGAGAAATAAATAATCCACCACGAATTAAAAGAAAATGCTATTTAAAGCCGTTTGTCTTCTGTAAGGTTGAACACTTTTGAGTGTATCTCTCTCTATTAATAGTATATATGAATATAAAAATTATTTATTATTGTATCTTGTAATTTTTAGTATTTTTATGTTATTTATACTATCATATCTATGTTTTATTTACTTTAACAACATTTGCATTTAACTTAACTTGAATTTTAAAAACTGACACTTGAAAGATTGAATATAACATATTTAAAAAAAAGAATAAAATTTATGCTTAATGTATTCAATAATATATTTTAATATGTATTTCGTCGGTTTATATATCCTAGGATATCCGCGTTAATATTTATTATTATATCAGAGAATAGCTTAGTCACAAATTTTATTATCCACAATTTTCTATTTATCCACAATTATTTAAATTTAATATATATATTAAGGATACTGAAAAATAATAAAAATTGCTTCGAAGAGTACACTCACATTTAGTGAAATGATGAAAAATCGAAGGACTTTTTAAAAAGGCAAAAGGTTTTAGAAAATAATGAAAAATTTTTTTTGATGATTAGCATTAAAAATTTTTCAATAAATAAACATTTGCCAGCAAAGTAAAATTTTGATTACTTTTTAGTATCCATAATATATATTATAATTTGTCAAAGATAATATTATATATTAATTTAAATAAAAACCACTTTTTTTTTTCTTTCTTTATAATATATAAATAGCGTCATAATTGTAATTATATTTTTTTATATTATTATGTATTTAATATTTTCTATTATTTCTTCTGTAATTCAATTTCATAATAAATTATACTTTATTTATTTTAATCTATTTTAAATACCGATCCATTTAATTGATTACCTTATTGAATGGTCCGCCAGGTCGTCTGATCATAAGTGTCACTATTATAGAATTTTTTTTTAAGGGAGATATTTAAAGTTCAGAATATTGCATAAAGATTATATGCATAAGATTATATGCATATAATCTATATTGCATAAAGATTAAATGCATATAAATTTGTTGAATATTTTATAAAATAAATTTTATAAGGATATTTACTAAATATTTTTTTAAAATTGAATTTGCATTTTTTATTGTATGTGAAATTTTAAAATATATTTTCCGAGAAACTATTGAATCTAGAAATAGATGTAAAAAGAATTAAAAGGTTCTTAGAATAAGAGGTTTTACCTTCACTTTACCCTTCTAGCCATTAAAGATTTTTGAAAAGATTATCATCCTTGTTAAAGGATTAGCCCAAAGTAGGTAAATTTATGAGACAAAAATCTATCCCTTTAAAAAGCAAAATAAGTTTTCTCTTTATTTTTCTAAAAATGATTACTAGATATCGCAGTACTCTAGAGGAATATACTCGTTGGGATATATCTAATTGTAAGAGTTTATTTTCGCAGGAATAAAAAAGAAGAAAAATGGAAGAAGGGAAAATGATCAGTAAAAATGTAAAAGTAAACGGTTATTATAAACTCAGGAGAATTAGAATAAAATAGTTTATTGTAATCCACAGAAAAAAACAAGACATTTCTACTATGCCTTTTAAAACTCACTGTTCTGTCAATCAACAATAGTTGCGTTTACATTTTTCTGATTCGTCCTGTACGTGTCTATCAACACGAAATATCGAAGTGAGTAGTATAATATATCATATTAGTAATGTTTACTCTTCTCTCTTTTTTTTTTCTTTTTTCTCTCTTTTGATCTTTTTATTTTTAGATGACATTCTTACAAATAACAGTTATTGATTTATATCAATGATCGTACAATTGTCGATAGAAAGAAAGAGAAAGAAAAGGAAATGAGAGAAAGATAGATAGAGAGATATAGAGAGAGAAAGAAAGAGAGAGAGAGAGAAAAAAAGAAAGAAAGTGGAGAAAAGTTATTCTTGCGAAATATTTCAATTCGATGACGTTTTATTTGTCCTCTCGCGTTATTGTTATTAACTTTTTTTCTTATCTCTTCTCCTCGGTTTTGAAAATATAGAAGATATATGTTGCAATTCTCGACAATTCAAATATAAAAATGTTTTTGAGAATTATTTATGTCTAATGTGATTAGTGAGTACGCAAAATACTGTTTCCAATATTAATACCAAATTCGATATTTATTCGTACGCTTTGAACGTTGCTGTTCTTCAACTAATATATATATATATATCTGTATAATTTTTTTTTTTAATCTTTTTTTCTTAAAATTACAAATTTCAATATTTTTCTTTCGAATCAATATCTCGCACACACCCTTTTTTTCATTTGTTCTGCATACTTTAAGTATCGCCAATATATATTTGATACATTTCAAATAAATCTGTTCAAATGCGTTAACAGAATCATTTACTATCTTTTTTTTTTCTTTTTAAGTACATGCGAAATCGTTGAGTACGTGTATGTGTGTGCGTATGTCTGTTACGTATTTTCTGCTTTTTTTTTTTTTACATATCTATATGCGTTGCCAAGTTATAGTCAGATCATACGTATAGTTGTGTTTATGGACTTAATTTTACTACAATAGCATTTTCTTAAATACACAAATACATACATACATACATATATATATATATATATATATATATATATATATATATATNTATATATATATATATATATATATATATATATGTATATATATATATCTTGTTAATACATTTCCGTGGAAGTGGACGATAATCTTTTATCGATTAATAAATGTCTACGTTGAGAGATAATAATCGTCGACAGCGAATATCTCTTGGAACTGGGATATATTTCTTTTTTTCATTCCTTTATATATATATTTAATTTTCGGAACAAAAATATTCGTATGCTCTGTCGACGTCGGAATAGCATAACGTTTCTTTTTCATTTACAATTCGATAAGAGCTGACTAAGAATTATAATTAAATAAGAAAAAATATAGTATAAAAGCTAAGAAACATAACGAGATTTCTTATGCAGGAAGCCTTAAAGATGACTATCTTTCTTCTTATTTTGTTCTCTATTTATTTAATCATATGCATAAATCTATCCAAGTCCTCGAGATCACGCACATTGCATAATACAAAATCGCTCATTGTCGACTGATCGAGCACGATGATCCAAAATAACAACGATAAATGGATCAGCTCGATATATTAATTTAACCCTCTATAACTAATTAGAATGCAAATTATTTAAGAGCACCGTTGGAAAACTATTCATATTCTATACATATAAAATTATCGATGTCAATTTGAATAATTGTATGTTTCATTGCTACGGAAATGTTTCGTTGCATTTTCGTCTGTTACAAAAAACTTATTATAAAAAGAAATATCTCGGTGAATAAAAGGAAAAAAAAAGAACTATATAATATAATACAGACATATGATAATCAGAGCGCGTTATAGAGGGTTAAATAAATCTTAATACTCTTGTGCGCTAAAAAAATAATATAGCGGAGGTATTGGAATAGTTTTCGTAAAAACGAAAAAAAACGAAAGACTATTATTTTGCTGAGAAAATTTTGTACGATACGTATATGTATGTATGTACAATTAACAACAATTACAGACGCATTCGAAGTATACAATCGTTTTGTTATGGCACTACCACGGTAGGTAAAATTTCATTTATGATAGCGGATATTATACTCGATCGTGCGATATCAATTGTTCTTTTATTTATTTTTAATAATATTATTATCATTTTTTTTTCTTCCTACGGAGTATAGATGGAGAGTAATTATTTTTCGGACTTGTCTCTTTTTAAGTATTGAATTATTTTTTTTAGCGCACATGGCAAAACTTACTCTTACGAACTATGACTCAAAGTCATGATAAAACTTAAAGGCAAGATAGCATCATGAGTGTATATTGTTTAAACAATATAGGATAAAGATGGATAAAGATTAGAAAAAGGTTTACATTGGAAAATTGTTTCTCTTGTTCATATAGTAACATTGCAATACATACGGAATAAGATAGTAAATTTATACGTGAAGAATATAAAGAGGAGAGGGAGGACAGGAGTGGGAGAGAAAAAAATATATATTAAACTAGGGTGTTTTATAGTGTTGTGTATGTAAATAGTGTGTTTCTTTTTTTTTTGTGTGTGGTTAATAATTATTTTGTTTTCCTTAATTGTAGATAACACATTTTCGAAAGGCTTTGTTAATATTTTCTCCAAACGAGAATCGAAAATCAAAAAGCACTACAGGAAAATGAATTATTAGTCCGTGAATATTTTTTCTGTTCTCTTTTCTTTTGAGAGAGCGAGAAGACGATGATCGAAGATCTCTTATTTCTTCTTTCTTTTCCTATTTTATCATATTCATTAATAATCCATCCTTCCTGCGCGTATTACCAAGAACACTCTTTCTTCTTATCCTTCCTTTCCTCGAGTTTTGTCAGCGAATAATATTAATTCATCTGTAATCGAAATGCTCGATAATATACATATAATAGCTTTACAAACATTTACGAATCGTGTAATGAACTTTTCTTAAGAATTAATTTATCAATAAATAATCATATATTCATCATAATCATCATTACCATCACCGTCATCATAATCATCATCATCATAATCATCACCATCATAATCATCATTTCCATCATCATAATCTGTATAATAATTATCATCATCATCATCATTATCATCATTATCACCATCATCATTATCATCATCACCATCATAATCATAATCATCATAATCATCATTATCATTCAACACTAATTCGCGCATCACGAGCGATTTTTTCTTTTTTTCTTTTTCAAATTTTTTTTTACTTTTGTATTTTATATTTTTTTTAACGCACAACTCCATTCTACATAGATCAATAAGAAAATGTCGCGCAATGATCATCTGACTCTACGTTCAAATATTATCAATAATAAGTTGAGAAGAGGACAAATCCGCGCCTCCGCTAATATAAAAATACTGTTCTGTTGCACCATAATTCTTCTCTTACTATTCCTATAATTATGCATAATATAATCCCTGTAGTCTTCTTTCAAAATCGCTCTTTTTATATTATTAAAATAAAAGTAAAAAATAAAAATAAAAATCAAAATAAAAATAAAAACAAAAATACTAGATACGCTTACGCGTCATTAATAAATGGCGCAGAAAAGAAGATTTACAATTCGTTTATCATAATTTCTCTTCATTTTCTATTTTTTTAAATATCTTTATTTTTTATTACTTTCCTCATTCTTTTCTTTTTTTTTTTTTCAATGAAAGAAGTTTTACGATTAAACGAAGAATATTTTACGTGATTTATCAAAAAATTTTATTCATTGATGATTTTGATAAAACGAACAATATTTCTTCTCTTCTTTTTTTTTTTTTTGTTTTTCTTCAATTACTGATAAATAGGGAGATAAAAAAATCGAACTTGCATCTGCCAAGTCAATCATATATACAAATATATATATATAAAACGATGATAAGAAGAAATTAAAAGAAAACAAGCAATCAACTCTCTCGTAAATGTATAATACATATACGAGCGTGCGATGACTATACGTATTTTTTAACTCGTAACGCGCACGTTACTTCCACTGTGATTATTTTTTTTTTTTTAATTTTCTTTCTTCTTTTCTTCTTTTTTATTTTTATATGTTAACTTTCGATAAACGCTAGGAGAAATATGAATCGATAGTGTCAGAGAAAAAACATGCCGTTGATTCTGACGTGCGTCGCCTGCTAAAAGGGTACGATCCTAACTTATGCACCGAGAACGATAAATATATACATATATACGTATACATACGGTTTTTATTTGGAGAATGAAAAAAGAAAATGAAAGGAAGATAATAAAAAATAATGTGTATATAATATACATACACCCAAAAAGATCGATTTTAGCTGCGGCAAGCACGGCAGACGATCGACGGCCGACATAATTGATATCACGTCGAATATCGATATCTCACGTTTCCGCAATAATTATATGATTATTGTAATCATTTCTAATTTTTTTTCTTTATTATTATTAGCTTGTTTGCTATTGTTATTATTTATTCATTTATTTATTTTTTCTTATTTCATTTTAATAATTCAGCGCGACACAAAGAGAATTTCTTTTTTTCTCCACGAAAGTTAGAGAACAAATTCTGCAATCGTCAGGCTGCCTGTTAGTTATTACGATTATTAATTGTATAATTATATATATATATATTCATATTCATATATATATATTTATATAGTATATATTCAGCATCACAGTAAGATAGCGCCTTTCATTATTTAAGTGATCGTCGATCTGCTCGGACCATTTATATTCATCCTGTCAACAACGTACTCTACAACAACCCGTCTAAACATTGTCAAATAGTTCTTTAGTCATATTTCTGCTTTATCTTTTAATTTTTTTTATCTTTCTTTCTTCATTTTCGTTTTCTTAACATCAAAGTCGATGCGATTATTTATTACGTACTTGGATATCCGCAATATCCATCAAGATTCGAGGTAATTAGGATAGGAGAAACTAATAATATAGTACTGTTAGGAAGGTACTGTGTTTGATAAAATGATTCGGGTCATGCTACTATGACCATAATATATTGCGCGTTAAAAATAAAAATTAAAAAATAAACAAAAAGTAAACAAAAAGAAAACAAAAAATAAACAAAGAAATGTGTGACGTTATCACTACAGAAAAGTCAATAATGTCACAATAGATATAAAAACAAAGAAAACCAATAATAAAAATAATAATATTATCAATAATAAAAAATAAAAAAAGATTTAAAATAAAATTTGTTAAATTAAAAATAAAAATCTTCAGCTGCTATAAGCTGCCGGAAAATATATTAATTTAATAACTCGCGACGACGAGCGCGTGTATATGTATATGTATATGTATATATGTATGTGTATATGTACATATACATATACATATACATATTATGAAAGAAGATTTTAAGAATAAAAATTATCAACATTCATCATTTGTGGAAATTTTGTCGCAAGTATTTAAAATTCGTTCATAATTAAAACATATTTCAAATATACGAATAATCGAATATAGATCAAACCGTAGATATAGCGCACCGTGTCTATGTTTGTCCTACCCTATCGAAAAATAGCCAAACAGAGTACTACAAATAGGTACTTATAATTACTTCTGAAAATAAATAGTTATAAAAATAAGCGAAAATTTTATGCTTAAAATACCTTAGGTAAAACTTAATTAGTTTGCACCACGTATAGAGTGGAATGTGTGGTTTCTCTTACTAGACCATAGAAGCGTAATTCTAACAAAAGTTTCAACTACTATTTAAAAAACATTAACGAGAGACAACTTGTCAATTCTAATCATTCATAGTGCAATAGCTTTAATAGAAAAAACGTGAATCAATAAATAAGAGTGCAACAAGAAAGTTAGACATATAAGAAACGACGAATACCGAATATCGATCGATTCGCGCATCGATAAATCATTATGTCGTTAATAGAATAAATAATCGTACTGAAGGAAAAAATCTGAATGTCCTATAATAATAGAATTAGGTACGATATTCGATTCATTCTTTTTTTTTCTTTCTTTTTTTTTTCTTCACCGTGCGAAAAGGAAAGATTTATACTTCTTATTTTTCTTTTCTTTTTGTTCTGTTCTTTTTACTTTTTCTTTTTTTTTCTAACACCGTGGAAGAATGAAAGGATACATGCGTCTATGGCATGTAAAATATCTTCGTTTTTATCTCTTTTTTTTTCTTTTCTTTTTACGAAGACTCCAATACTCAAGTACCCGCGATTATCGGTATTTAACTTAAATAAAAAGGGTGGGATGGGGGGATAACTTTTTTGTACTTTTCTATAAATTTTGTTCATATCTACTATACCTATCTCTAAAACGACAAAGTTCCCATCATCTCGAAGTTTAAATGAGAGAATGTTCAAAATCCAACCATAGAGAAATCATTAGGATTTTTCTCTTCTGAGAAACTATTCAAGATCTTCGAGGAAGGGTTTTCAACTTCAAGAATTCATTAAAAAAAAAAAAAAAAATAAATAAAAAAAAATAAAAGGAAACTATTAGGGCGAAGACTTTTTCCTTCTAATTTCTGTTTCTTTTTTTTTTTCTTTCATTCATTTCGCCGGTAAGTATAGACCACCGTTATGTATTTTTAATCACGTTTCCCGTTATTCCTCGTTGTTCGTAAAAGACGAAATATAGAACGGGTTAACGCGTTGTTCAATACTTAACCAGACCAAAACGGTGGTCAAAGATCTTATACTAGTCCCGTCGCGTCCTTTTAGGACGTTGGTTAACTCCTACCTCGTCGCTACCGCGTGACTTCTTACCTATTTGTACCTGACTTTGTGCGGTTAATTGCAACGAAATAGCATGTGTGTTTAATTTCTCAGCTAACAGGAGATCCTTGAGACCCTTCATTTTCTGACTGTACAACGTTATTCTTGGCCTCTCGTTTTCCGAATCTATCTCCTCCTCGGGATCTAGACTCTCCTGAGATGTTGATGGTGCTGGAGGTAAGGCGTCCTCAGGAGGTGCGACGAAAGGTTCTCCACCACCTTGCAGTAAATAATCTCTATTGAGGATTTTTTCACTGCAAGCAGCGGTTAATGCTTGAATACTGGGATGCATCGGTGCTGGATTAGCCGGTACTTTAGACTCTAAACTTTTGATTAAATCGCGTGCAGCACTACCCCTCTCCTTCGTTTTACAATAATTATTATTATTATTGTTAAGAGACTCATCAGGACTGGTTTCTCTCTTTTGCATCTTCTCTTCCTCTTGCTTCGTTTCCATATCGTAACACTCGATGATAACCTGAGCACGAATCGAAGCATCGAATTTAGAAATGGTATTCACTAATGGTCGTGCCCAACCTATGTGCAAGACAGGAGTATTCGCCCCTTCCTCCCATTGACAAATACCGTCGTAAAATCTTAGAAGGTAGACGAAACATCGTGGCTGTCGTAACAGTCGCTCGTCGGCCCTTACCGTGTGAGGTATTAATTCGTTGGCGATTTCCAATAATTCCTTATATATTTCTCCGTCGTCCCGCGAATAATCGTATCTGTCGCACATTAATTAACATTAAAAAAGTGTCGAGAGAATAAAAAACTATTTTAAATGTAATATATATATTTGTATATATTTATATATTTACTCCTGAAGAGGAAACCATCCAAATAAAAACTTACTTTCTCAATACGTCTGCAGCATCTGACCAAGACGCTAGAGCATTAGCATGTAATCCATGTCTGTAGAGATATCCACCTTGATAAGTATATGGATAAACGTGTGCATTACCATAATACTTTCTGGCACATCTTACGGCTTCCTAAAATAATGAAATTCGATGATATTTCTTCTTGCATGCTCTATTAAAAAATTTGTTAGGAGAAATTTGAAATCAACCTGAAATAAATCTATTGCTGGAGGTCTTCCTGGCGTTGGTGCTGCCTCTTCTAAATCACCCAAATTGCCAAGCGCCATAGGATATTTGGCAAGATGACCCAAATCATAGAGTAACCATAATAATTCTTGTTGAAGTAATGCTACTTCTGCTGCATCAGCTGTCGCACTCAGACTAGGATTTATAGCAGATACTATTGTGGCAACTTCCATAGCACGAGAACATACAACTGCCTGACCATTTACATACAACCACGATCGAGAAGCTACACCAGGTTCAACGGGTTGCCCACGTTTATCCTCGTTTCCCTTCCCTAATATTAAAAGTAGCATGCTTAAACTATTTGATGTGGGCATTCTTAGAGTAATTTGCAGCACACACATCAAACCAATTGATATGTTTTTATTATTCAGTTTTTTGAACTGAGCTCAGACATCATTTAAATAAAATACTATAATGACAAGACAATAAATCTTTCTAAAAAACATAAAATTATAATACAAATAAAACATACCGTGCCATGTAACCTCTGCAGTTTCAGAACCATGCTCTCCATATACAACCCATGCATGGTCCTCTGACATGGCAAGATGAACATCTTTAAATCCTAACACCTGACATCCAGCAACTACTGCATAAGCCACTCCAAAACAATCTAATTTGTTAGCAGTAAGATAACTGTAAAGACTCTGTAGATGAGCCCGATCCTTATAGTAGCTTCTCGTTAGGGAGTTCCATATTACGTCTGAGACTTTCTTGATAAGCTCTCTCGTAGCATATTTGGTGTCGTAAACTGTTAAATCGACAGCTCCTTTAATAACAGCATGAAACTTTGTATATAACGCTTCAGCTATATGATACTCGACAGCCGGCAATTTAGGCTCGTCGTAAACAGCGTTCTCCTGCGACGTAAATGTCCGGTTACAGGTTAGGGAATTCTCAACAGCACCGACGAGGATTGAAAGTAGCGCGAGGTCTGGCTCAGAGCTATTTTCCAGCTGATTTTGGAAGATCTGAACGATAGAAGATATGCTCTGAATTGGGAAGAGTGCTTTATCCTCTTCTCGAAAACCCGCCATGTCGCGACTGGCAGGCCTGTAGAGATACGGAATCGTACATATATAACGCTTCAAAGTACGAGTGTCATCTCTGTTTAAATGATTTCTTGACAGAAACTATCATTGAATTCAACCTACCTTCTGACCCCTTTCACCGTCGACCAACGGCACACGCTAATCACCTTTAATTTTCCCCTTGTACTCCGAAAATGTTCACATTTCCGCACAAGAAAAACCGCAACACTATATTCCAGCGGCGCGCCGCCACTAGGAGTGTTTTCACTGTTTCTTCAAGAAAGCAACCTTCAGTCCCGTTTTCTTGTGTCGGGACAACGCGTATCAACCTTTATGTATTTTTCCTCCAAACATTCTAAAAATATTTTTTAAATAAATACTTATGTAATTTTCTTTATTATCTATTGGTCTTTTATTGTCGTTCTTATTAAAACGAAATAGAATATCATAGAAGCCCGACCAATTAGATTTAACATTTAAAATGTCATCTTAATTACTTCAATTTGATTGGATATTTTAAGTAAATGGCAGATTTGCAATTATTCAGAAAAAGATCGAGAATTTTCTTCTAATGTTATACGTGGCATTCACATTTCAGGATATATTACAATTATTTAGGATCCCCTTTTCAACAAATTTCGAATTAAATTGCTCTAGAGTAAACTGAAGATGTATATATATACACATATATTACAAATCAATACACATCGACATTTTTTGCTCGATGCATATATTGCTATTCATATTAATTAGAGTGAAACAACCTATATTATTTAAAAATAAGAATTAATTTGGAAAATTTTCATTTTTCGATAAAGTTACATTATTATTCTTTATTTTTAAATAATATTGTAAATTTTGAATAAAGATAATAACTAGTTAGCTATAGTCAATTTTATCTTCAACTATAAACTGAGTTGGTTTTCAGAAATAGTCGCGTAGTTAACTCGATGTAAATATAATAAATAAATAAATATAAAAAGTACGATAAATCTCGACTGTAATAAATATTAATTATTATGCAGCATTAGCTCTTGACGTATAAATTACGTTAGACTGTAATGTATGAGTCAGATAAATGTTTCTCTCGAAGATGTGACATAATTGAGGTTAGGAAAAGAATTAATTTCGAAGTGTCTATTTACTTTTGACATTAAAAAATATTTTTCACTTTTGTTAGAACAAAGTATTCATCGAAATTACAGTTGGCTGTTAATTTAACAAGTTTCATTCCAAGTGATACTAAATAAAAACAAAATAATCAAAATGACAACAATAAATAAGCCGTCAAAAGAAATGACACAATCTGTGTGTGCACAGATGGAAAGCTCAATGACAGATGGAAATTCTAGATGTGAATCGCCGAAACGTGGTACAACACTTTCAACTAGTACCAGTAGTTTTGAAGCTCTTGATCCTCATGATCCAAATCTAAGTCGTTTAGCTAATACAATGTTTCAAAAAACTGGTGAGTATTTGCAAGAAGAACTCACCGCTACTCATGCTGATTATCGTTTATTGGAAAGACTAAATAAAGAGACTATTGCTAAGTATACAGAATTAAAGACAATATCGTCAAACGTTTCAATATCATTGGATTCTTTAAATGAAAAATATAAAAATTTACGGCCTATATTGGAGAATATTGATCAAATTGATGACAGTGTCAATAAACTAGAACAAGCAGCTTATAAGCTAGAATCGTATTCTAAGCGATTAGAAGCAAAGTTTAAAGATCTAGAAAAAGATTTGAAAAAGAATGAAAATCTTTATGTTCGTAAACAATGTATAGATAATGTGACAAAAGGTAACGTTACAACTGGAAATAAGTCCACTTTATAATCTGATACTAATTACTGCATAATATAAGATATTTAAAATTTGTTATATATACAAGCATTAATATAGTCTTGAATGTAACTGAATAATAGTTGTTAATTTTAAAGTTACTTATTTTAATCGAGAATTACAAAGTATATTTGTGCTTGCATTTACTTAAAAAAAATTAATAATAAGTAAGATTAACAAATAATTACAAAGAAATTAGATTGTAAAATTAAAGTACACAGTTTAATTATATGAATCATGATCATTGGTGTTCACATTTCTATGTAAATAAAAGATGTTAAAATGTCACAGAAAATGAAAATTTAGTATCTCTATAGTTCTATACATTAACACATATGTCTTTACACAATTATTATAAGGTACTTATAAATAATTATGCACCAACGTTAACAAACTATTTTAATGCACTTAGCTGTTTCATTTATCTTAGATTTTCGTATATTTTGTGTATATAGATGTCAAAAACAATATTTGATTTCCTATTAGACAAAATATGATTCAACACATTTCAATATAATATTTAACTTATTTTCTATACAAATCATTTTTTTACTTATTTATCTATAATTTCGATATTGCCATTTAAAAACAAAATAAGATAAACTTTCTGATAAAACTGTAGGATGATGTTCTTATCGCTGTTTAATATACTTTAGTCCAAGAATAAATAGTTTACTTATATTTAACAAAAAATATAATTTGTTACTATACAGAATGTAATAAATGATGAAAATTCTGTCATGTGAGAATCTGCCTAATTATCTCTATCTATTTTTCTCTCTCTTTTTCTTTAATCCGCAATAAATATTACATTAATGCAAATTATTTGATCCATCGTATTTTTTTACCGCAATATATCGTTATTTACAGACAATACTTTTCTGTTGAATTGCATGTTTATACATTCTGCTATTTAAATATTTATATCACTGAACGTTAAAACATTTTTGGTTGTCTTCAAATAGTATGTTAGACAAAAATAACAAATATATTTTTTTCTGTCATAAAACCCTAATTCTAACAGTATTAATTAAACAAATATTGATACAAAATTACATAATAAATTACATATAATCATTGATTATTGATAAATAGATAATTTTCAATGCACCTTGTTTTTTTTGTAGAAGTAAATCATATTATTATTAACCAAAAATGTTTATGGCTCCTGAGTGTTAGATTTTGTTATTAATGTTATTATTTAGGTGTTAAATATTTTTCGGAAAAAGTTGTAATCACTTTAATGAAAAATAATAGCAATGAAAAAAACAAAATTTACCATTTAAAAATAAATCATTGCAAGATTTAGTATTATATTTAACAATCTAAAAAATTTCCAGCCATTAACAGTTCTAGCGCAATTTCTGGTGCAATTGGAAATTCTGGAATTTCTGTGCTACTATGCGTATAACGAACTTTATAAGTAAAATACATACAGACTTTTTGAAGTACGTGAGATCTATAGAAAAGAAAAATATATTATTAAAATATAAAATTCTTATGTTCTAAATATTTGCGTAATCGACTTTGTTAAAAACTTATTAAACTTACGGAATTTCACGAAAATTAACTTCATTGGCTTCATTCTCTGCAAATTGACCAGGGCCACTAAGCATAGCTTTGATCGTTCCACTTGTTAATGCATGTTCGCGTTTCACAATAAACTCATGACCATCGCTGCTAACCAATTTTACATACATTGCATTTGGTCCTTCACAGCCACCATAAATTGTGGATGGGCCGCTTTCTTGCTAAAAGTTTATGTTTGACTTCATATAATTTTGCATTTATATCCGTATGAAGTTTTTTACAAGTTACAATTGCACTACTATACATTTTTATATTATACAAACTGGAGTTAATACAGTGGCAAACATAGGATAAGTCATGAAAGGTAGGCTTTTAAGTAGCAAGTTTAATTGCAGAGATAGGTACCGCATGCAGGTCAACAGATGATTTGCCCTCTTCTTCCTCAGCTTTAACGACAATTTCTTCCTCATCGGGCTTAATTCAAAGAAAAGTTGTATTAATTAAGAGCTTTCATTTACCAGTGTTTTCCAGTGTTCCAAATAGACGAATTAATGATATCTCAACCTCTTTCCCCATAGCAGCCCAAGATACACATTTGTATGTGTAGACATGTATAATATACATACATATATTCACATACACACGTGTTCATATATTAATGCACATATAAATATACAATTTATATTCACATATTTTATACAATTTTATTATCATGCATGATTTTAAACATGCTAAATATTCAAACTATGACATACCTTGTCAGATTGCATATTTACATCGTTCGACATTGTTATTTCTTTATTGGATAAATAATTTTCCTAAAAAGAACAAAACAACACCAGTTAGAAGGAAGAAAAATGATCTACATAATGTATAAAAAGTTTTATTTTTGAAATAAATATGATTTTTCGTACGCAATTTAATACAATTTATTACTACCTACATCTAGATTTACATTATATATAATTTGTACGTGTATAATAAAATAGAAAACATTCGTTACTCATCATTTTTTGTTAAAAAGGTTATGATCCTCTTATCATAATACATTACTCTTATAAATATATAATAATAATCGAAATAGTCGTGTCAGTTGACAAATTATCGAATAATCCAATTTAAACTGATAAAAAAAATAATTGACATAAGAAATACTTGTAGTTGTTAGACATGATTTATCTTGATAAAACATATTCGTATAAATCACATATATCACAATATACTAGTCGATTTTTGATAAAAATATTATTGAGAATAATTAGTCCTTGAATAAATAATAAATAAATACGTACCGTAATAAAAACAAGTTGATAAAATTCAGACTTTTCGATCACAGCACAGTTCGTTGATAAGAGCAACGGGAAGGCAATAATATGGCCACCAAATACTAAATCTCACGGAGTATAGATACCAGGAGTCCGAACGGTATAGGATTTTTCACATTTTTTGTGCTAGTCATTTCTTGACCCAGATTATAGTTCTCTTTTTTGCCACTGGCTGCGCAAGTATTCAGAAAGTACCGATACTATTATTATTATTACACATAAATACGAACTGGATAACATGGATTGTAAATGTAAAAATAAATTAAATTAAATATAAAATATTAATTTATTTTTTTATAATTATTTTTATTAAAAAATGGGAAAGTGTTGTGCCGTTTTTGGTTGCCGTAGTGGCCGGAAGGCAAGTGAGAATTTAAGAAAAGTGGCTTTATTCAAAGCACCAAAAGTGAGTAACCTCAAAATAATATTAAAAATTTTATGTTAACAAATAATTGATTATTACATTTGTGTAGTTTTTAAATAATATTTATTCCACGTTTCTTAAAATATTTTTTTTTCAGAGCTGTCAATAGCAACAAGACTTCCCGCATAAGTATTTAAACAAGTACTCTGTGAAAAGTAGCGCGCCCTACCGGCAAAATATCTTGTCCCCTAAATTGATACCATTCTTTTAACATTACGTTCGGACTCCTGCTATCTATCCGTGCTAAATCTCTTCAATAAATCGCACTATACACAGAATCATATAGAGTTGACACTTCCATAAGACAATATTTTTACGAATGACATTTGTCCACCATCTAGTGGTTAAATAACATATTACTAATAAAAGTTGTAATACTAATAAAAAGAATATATAGTAAGAGTTTACTAGATAATTAAATAATAGTATTTAAAATATCTAGTTTGAATTGCATATAAATGAAACATTATTAAAATAATTGAACTATTAAAATAAAAATGATTAAATTCGTATATACGTGCCTTACAAAGAATTGACTTACTATTTATTTAAAGATACGTAACGATTTTTCTTGTTAATATTTAAATTGGTAGTGTCAGGAAGTGGCGCGGGAGAATTTTACTTTGCGATGTCAAATTAGAACAAAATAAAACAAAATCAAATAAAAATCAATATAAATATTTTTAAATTCAAATAGAAGTAAAACACAGTGATATTCTTTATTTGTACTGTGAATTATGAACGAATCTGGATGTACAAAGTTAGTATAAAGTTAAGAGTAATTTTTTTGATGTTATTAATAAATAATTGTAAATAAATTTAAAATCCTTTAGTTATTTACGTAACGTTGAACACGTGCGTGAGACATTGCGTTCTGCTGACATAGATGAATCTGATCTTAATGGAACAACACAAATATTATATCCTGCAGAAGATCTTTTTTCTGGTCATGGTATCAAATTGGTTGAGCTTGACGAACAACTGCTAGAAATAATTAATAAAGGAGATAGGTAACGAATTTATTTTAGAAAAATATTACACATTCATATTTTAATATTTTTATAGTTAAATTGTGGATATTGTTTTATATTTTATTTAATCATATTTGGTAAGACAACTAATTTTATGGGATTTAAGTTTATCCTTTAAAGGTAGTAGTAATGAATCCGCAGTACTTTGTACAGAAAATCAAACTTATGAAATAAAAGAAGCAGAGACATCAAATTCTTTATTATTGGTACCTGATTTAATGTTAGCGGATGATACCAAAAGTTCAGCAGAGCAAGGTAGAGTGATAAAAAGATGCTGCGTAAGAGGAATTTTTCATACTTATTATGAGGTATTTAAGATAATTTTTGTAATCAGTTTTATTATATTATTTTTAATTAAAACTTTAGTAAATATTAATGAAAATTGTTTAGGTACATGAATGCAAACCTCGGGTTGATAAAATATTAACAATACTTCAACCTTCTTGTTACAATGGTAAGGAATATGAATCAAACATAGATTTAACGACACTTTATGACTGGGATAAATTAAAAAATGAGATTCAAGCTAGCGAGGATGAAATAAAACAGGCTTTAAATGATCATTTAGTAGTAATGATAAACGGTAACTTTTCATGAAATTTTGTAAAACTATGAAATTTATTAACAAATTCTGTTAATACAGTTAATTACTAAATTATATTTTATGTTTTGCTATTAAGGTTTTCTTCGATTAATATCATTTGAAGCAGAGGTACGATATGTAACATACATGTTAGATTTGTTTAATGATTATTCGTGGGAAGTAGATGAAGTCGATAAAGAGGTCACGTATGATTCTTTGAAAGAACTTATTGCTGAACCTATTTTTAATGCATTGTTTAAGAAATATACAAGTTTAAGTGAAAAAGTCAAAGAGGATGGTAGTTCTCTTTATAGGTACTATTTCAAGTGTATAGATATGTGTAATTATTTTTTATATATTTTAAATTTTATAAATGTAATTGTTCTTACATACAAATTTTTTGTAGATACAATGAAGAAAAAGTTTGTAAACTTTTAGCTAAAGTTTTTCTTAGTACTATACCTGTTAATAAGTATAATGATTTTATGGAATCTTGGAAAATGGGAGCGCCTGAAAGTAAGTAAATACTAATATAGTTTTTGAAAATAATTACTTGTAATTTTTATTAAAAACAATTTTAGAAATAGTGCCCAAAGAGGAATACTTAAGAGGAATTGCAATTATTATTTATAATAAGAGTATTATGCAAAAAGAAGTGATATCTTTCCCAGAAGAGACTTTACCCAAGAATATCAATGATAGGCTTAAAGAAATATTTAAAGTTAGAGAAAAGTGGACTCTGGAAGAAATAACTCCATATATATCGTTAGTAATGGAAATAGTTTTGGAATATTTTAATTTTATTACAACTTACACATTAGAGACAATTATTTAATAATAATATGATTTCAGGAAATTTGAAACAAATAAAATGAACGTAAATGGTTTATTAACTAAATATGCAAGATGTTCTGTGCAAACTGGTGTTAAATATTATAGTTCAAAGCATGGTAAATAAATATGCAGCTTTCATAATATTGAGAAGATATAGTAAGTTGGAAAATTTATTAAATATATATATACCTGTATCAAATTAATGAATTACAAGACTATTATCACAAAAGATAAAATAAGCACATATTCAATGTAAATTTTATTTATGTAGTAAATATTATTAGGTTTTAATTTATATTACTCATTTATGATGCTGAAATCATACGCGTAGTTTATTTTGCTTGCAATCATGATACATAGTTACATTTACACAAATTTATAAATATCTCTGAAATAAGATTATATATTGTATATTTTTATCTCCTATTTAACTGGTATAACGGTAAAAATTTCGATGGTATTTTTCTTTTATATCTGTATTATCTTGAAGATTTTAAATAGATTAGTAAGAACACAAAATCAGCTTATATGTCATCATCTTTTTAATAGACAATAAATCTACAATATATATTATATTATTAAGAAAGTACTTTAAAATGATAAATATTGCTTTTAATATATTAATTGCATAGTGGTTATAATTATTTAGAAGAATAAAGCATTCAGCAAGTCTCTTCGATTAAAAAAGCATAATTGTAATGTTTATGAGGTTTATTTTTTAACATTCAACTTTTTTAATATTAATTATCATGATATTTTTTAAATATTGTATTATGCATTAGAGAGATGATCACATATTAACTAATTTGTGTATACTGTAGCTCACATGTAAAGTTAATGAGTAAAGTACAGATAAAAGTTCAACAAAATTTTTGTTATACTTGATAAAATAAGTAAATATATCAAGAAAATATTATAATTTGAATCATTTCTCTGTATATATAAAAGAGAATTAATCAAAAAATGAAATTCATACATAGAACAGCATTTATTAATATTTCTATAATAATATAATAATGTGAAATCATTTTATACAACATGGGCATTCCTAAATGCTATGATTTTACAAGCATCTTATATAGAATCGTGAAGTGGAAATTGGTCTCATATTTGAATTAAATTTTGATAACTAGATACTTTCAAATTTAGTGATTTAAAGTTAAAATTCTAATAAACGAAACTAAATTGTTTTTTTTTTTTTAAGTATAAAGATAAAAATATACATATATTGCTACAAGTCAAAACATGCGTATTTAAGAAGTTATATTGATTATATCATCAATATTGTTTAATGAATTAAAGAAAGTGAATTTTGTATAGTATTTTATGTACATTTAACATAATTTAAGAAAGTGTCTTATGCTCTCAACACAGTAGCAGTACCATTAATTATATTACTGATAATTATACGAGTATACTCGTATTACTACTGGTTCCTGGGATAATAAATGGCATAGCAAAACTTTGCACTACAAATTTAAGATCCTGTCTTGAGTACATAAATACACCTTGGCACATCAAAGCTTTAAAGCCATGAATACGATCTTTTGAAATAAGAAAAATTGTAGCACAGAGTTCAAAGTTTTTTATCATGTGCGAATATGATAATATGATGTGTATGAGTATGTATGATGGTATTGATGTTATTTATTAATACATTCATTAAAGAATGCTGCCTAAATAAAATTTTGAATTTCCCAGGAACTTAATGAAGGAATATGTTATATATGGAAAAGAAGTGCTATTTATTCGTAGAATATTTGGTGATGCTTTATAAAAAGCATCAAACACACTAATGTAAATGTTACTGCCAATCGCATTAAAAAGCTATTAGCAGTATCACTGTGAAAGGATGATATTGCCTAAAAATATTTTGTAGGAACTGACTTACTGTCGGAGAACGAGATTCGCTTTTTATAAAACATCTTGTACAAACGTTGCAAACTGGTATGAATCATTAAATAATTTGCTAATAAAAATAACGTTCAGTCCCATTTTTTACATTATAATTATTCCCCATAGTACTTCTATATGTAGGAAATAGACTATCAAATTATGAACTTGTATTAAAAACAACGTGGCAACATTGTGTCTGACGAGAAACCAAACCTTTGCACGATATATGCAATATTCAACTACCAATGAGGTGATGCAATAAGACAAACAATTACCTGAACTATGAGCCATGCAAATAACAATGTTGCAACATTATCTGAACATTTATGTTTTGTTTTTATTAAGCTTTAGAAAAAATTGTAAAAAGCAGGGCAGATATACTTGCTACAGGTGTATCTATTATGTGTTCTTGAATAATCGCAGTTTTTATTGAGCACACATATCTTTTGCATCACCTCATATATACACGTATTTGCCATAACAAATAGTAACTTTAATTCTAAAACTTTGGAGTTGATTCTTTATAGTTGTGACTTAAATTATCTAATTTACTACATCTATATCTGGTGAATACTGTCCTATCTATAAGTACGCCTGGACAAAGTGTCTGTATATATAAATATTAAAAAGAGCTAAAAAGCACAAATACTAGATGTCCTGTTGTCGATATATTCATGGGACATACACAGGTAACTCATACATTATCGTCTATTTACATACGATCTAAGTAGTATTCCAAAGTATCCCTGAAATCAGTGTACATGAGTATCACTAATTTAGTTTAAATGCTTAGTATTAATAATTCTTTTAAGATAGTCACCTCAATGAAAGGCATCTTGTTAGCTGTCACTGGCAGGTGTTTCATTTGAAGATTTATTAGCAGTGAATACTGACTGTTGACTAACACCCATCGCGACTGACTGACTCGGATGAATAACAGGTCCCACTGTCTGAACCAAATTGCATGTTACTGGTACTATCGGCGGGAGATTAACGGAATTATTCATAGGACCCATATTACAAGATAATGATGGCCTTTTTCTTTCTAAGCTATTGGTTGCCATTTGTCTTCTACTTGTTGAATTACGTTCAAGACTATTTGTTACGATGTGATGCCTCCTCTCTAAACTAGCTCCACTGCTAACATCAGTTTGACTTCCCTTTTAAGTGTAAAAATCATGTTATGATTAATATATGTTTATATTTTTACAGGATTATACTAGACACAAAGAAATATAAATTAAATATATATTAAAATTACCTGCAAAGAACGGTCAACTGATTGACCCATTCGATGTAGAAGATCTCCACTTTGGCTTTGTCTGAATGTTGTTGCTTGCCTTTCACTAGACTGGCTTCTTCTTAAAAAATGTTCACCAGATTGGCTCGATCGAATGCAATGTTCTGGTGTTGAGTCTCGTGATGTATTCTGATCATTTTGCTTTTGACAAATTTGATTATCCACGTATGGATATCGAATACGAATAGAGTCGATTACATCTAAGAGGTTTTTTGCATCCATCGCTAAAATATGAGCTGCAGAAAGCATTCCCCTAACGGATACAATAACGTCATTAATAAAAATAATCATTAGATTGAATATATTTTTATTATCTTAAATAAAATTAATTTATAAAAATTTACTTTCGATATTCTGCATCTAACGTGGTAGCACTATAATTTTGTGCTAATTTCATAGCCGTTACAAGTTCAGCCATATCTTTACTTAAAACCTTATGTGCCATTTCTACTTCTCTGTGCGCGGATATAGGTAATATTTCTACAAGAGCATCAACAGAGGAGAGTAAAGCTCTTAATTCCATGCCTACTCTTCTTACTAATTCTAAATACTGATCGGCTTTACTCTGTTGAACGCCTGTAATTTAGAATTTATTTATAAGTTTGTAATCATTTGCATACACGTACAATATACTAAAACACTTCATGATATTATACATTTTATATTTGTACAAAAAACTTACCTTGCGATAGAGACATTACTGCCCGAACTACGCTAGTCGTACAATCATATACTTTGTCATTAGTTCTATCCAAATCTGCTGTTGGTGTTGGTTCCATTTTCTAAAAATTAAATTTTATATTAAAAGTAATTTATAGCAAAAATATATAGCAGTTTGAAGAAAAATAGTTGATTATATGTATAATGAAATTGGCCTCTCTTAATTTAATATCATTACCTTTACAACTATTACTTTTTCCTTTTCTTTTTCGGGTCCTTTATCTGAACCAAGAGATCCTGTATTCGCGGTATGAGGTTCATGATTTGGGGATTGTGTGGCTGAACGAGGAATAGGTGGACTAGCACTTTCATCTCCACTTGTTGCAATTGACAAACGTTTCTGATAAAAAAAATTGACAAAAATTTAATTAAATTTGTATAAATAAGTTAAATATAAATCTTAATTTAAAGTTATAAAAAGAATCTTCAGTACCTCTTCTCTCGCTAACCAGCGACTATCTTCTTCAGATTGCCGTTGCTGTTCCAAAAGTCGCTGTTCTAATAACTTTTGTTCGTCATCTATACCACCAATGAAGCTATCAGCACCACTGTCAAATATCTGAGATTGTGCACCTCTCTGAAATATTCATGAAAGTACCATTATTAGACATTCGTAATAAATTCGTTTAAACAAATAAATCATTAACTAAGAATATTAGTACCTTAACGAGGAAAAATAAAATGTTTAAATGCGCATGTCTATCTAAATGAAACGTTCATATGTACACAGTAAAAATTAAAGAGATGCATAATTTTCGAAGTGCAGAACTGTAAAAAATAAGTAATGCAGTTAAATATTGCTGCATGCATGTATAAATATATATATATATATAATAGAACATAATAATATCAATGATAAAATAATAGAGTCTAACGTTGGATTAATTCGACATGCATATAAAAAAGCCTATCAAATATAGCAAATAAAAAGTATTTGGTTGACATAAATTCTTGTTGCATGTGTAACTGAAGAAAATGTATATGTTGTAAGAGAGCATGTATGTATGTTGTTTACGGATACGCGTAGACGCTTGTGATTGTATGTGAGGAAGAGCACGTTTGCATACTGCAAAGCATATATACACATATATACATCTGCCTCAAAATAGATGTACGGTGCTATAGATACACGGAACTGTGTAATATCAAATGATATGCTTGCAGATAGAAGATGCAATTTTTCATTCCTAGGAGGCATGGTCAAACCTGATCTTGCTGTGCCTCCTCTGTCATTGAGCTGCTAGATGAAATAGTGCTGTCGCTGACAGCAGAAGATATAAGTGATCCAGATAGAGTACCGTCTGTAGAACTTGTCAGTGGTTCATCTTGTTTTGATGTTACGAATGTAGTGATTTTCGCTATGCCAGTTGCTATTTGAGGTGTGCATGATTTAGCAATCGTTGGCGCCATTTGAGCTATTTGTTGTTTTACGTCAACCGCGTTTATCACTTGTTGCTGTGTTGAGAAACCTGTAGCACTGTACTGAACTTGCGTTTGTTCCGTAGGAGCATTAAAACCAGAATGTTGACCTAAGATGAAGTTAGGAACATGTGACTGAGTGTGCTGTTGGCTACTTTGTTGAATCATGACACCTGGTGCAGCAATGCGAGACTGAATGCCATGAGCTTGAGTTACTCCAAATGATTGATGCTGGTTTGCGGTAACGTTCAGGGATGCTGGCGATTGGTTATTTGCTATTCCACTTTGCACTTGCGGTATATAATTTGGCATTTGCACCTTTTGTGCTTGAACAACCGTAACGGATGTAGCATGGGCTGTGTATATTGGATTGGCACTGCTTGTTTGGTTCTGTTGCATCGTATATTGCGATGATGTGTAAGAAAGAGATTGTGGTTGTAAAAGAGGTTGGCGTTGAATATTTTGTGCTTGTTGCGCTCGCGGAATATACATGTGTTGTTGCCCCATTTGATTAACATTAGAATATATTTGTTGATGTTGATAGTTTTGGGGATAAAGTGGTTGAGATTGTAAGTTTTGAACTGGTGTTGGACTATAAACTAATTGACTTCTTCCACTTGGAACAAACGATGTAGCTGAACTAACGGATGTCATATCTCCACCACTTTGACTCTGAGTACTTTGTGCTCGGAATTTTAAAACAGGGCCATACAAACATTCCGCATTGGCAGTGGATATTGGAACATTAACTGCATTAATACGAGGAGATCCTGTAGCGGTAACAGCGTTTGAAGTAGATGAACTACTAGGAATTATGGGTTGTTGACCACTTGCATATGCTTGGCTTGTGATATTAGTGGAGTGCTGACCAAGATTAGATGATTGAGCATGCGTGCCACTCACAAACTGAGTTTGATTATTTAAGCTGCTAGGGCCAAAATTGCCTGGATTTTCACCAAAGTTACCACCTACGCTTGGACTTTGACTGAGATTACCTACAATAGCCGAACTTTGTGTAAAATTAGCCACAGGACCATATATTTCACCGCAAGCAGTAGTCGTAATGGGTATCGGATTGGATACTGAAAATTTCTGCACAGGCGAATATAAATCTCCCGTGATATTACTGACGACCTTTGAGCTTACTGCATATAAGTTTTGCATCTCTTTAACCTTTTGTTGTTTTCTACCGGCAGCTGGCGATTGTGTCTGCGCTGTGTCTGAAATATTGAGACTCGACATGAGGGGAGAAACAGTGTCTGAGGAGTCTAGAGAATCTAGATTAGTGTCGGACAAAGTTGAGTCTCCTGACTGTGTGTCATGAGAAGCAGTAGGCTCGGAAATCGCTGGGTCGAAAAAGGGTAAATCTGAGACAACGGCAGTAGTCAAGACTTGATCTTCGTCTTGAAATTGTACAGCGAGTGTGTTAAATGGAGAGGCAGGAGTAGTGTAGACAGAGGGACATACCCCCCTAGTTTGATTATCCTTAAGAAGTTGAGCAAGAACTTCCGGACTCTGTGCTACAATATAAGTAGAGACAGGCGCAGCTGCTGTTAATTGTGCTGAGTCTGCTGCTGTATTTTGTGGTTGTCTGGAAGGTTTCGGAGGTGGAACTTCGTCTGCACCTGCAAAATATATTATTTCAAATTTCAATGAATATTTTGCCATTGCAAAGTAAAATGAATAATTTATAGGAATGTATTATCTTCTCTTACCCCAAGACATGGCTTGTACTCTTCTATTTTCTCGTCTCATAGTCTCTTGTTGTTGATGCTTCTCTTCTAACAAAATTTCACTGTAACATAGATCGTCAAGTGTCAGAATTATTTTATTTAATTATCTTAGAAGTTGTCAGTTAAAAACTTACTGCAAAGTTTCTCTAATTTCTTTGAACGTTGGTCGTTTGCTAGGTTCATAACTCCAACACTGAGACATCAAGGAATATAAGCGTGGTGGGCAGTGATTAGGAAGCGCTAGTCTTTCACCATTTTCTAGTTTACGAATGACTTCATTATTTTTTACACCTTGGAATGGTTTTACACCTAACATTAATATCTCCCACATACAAACACCTGAAATTATAAAATATTATAGAAGTTAAAATACAGAAAAAAATGTTAAATTGAAAAAAATTTGTTAATAACATCTTACCGAACATCCAAACGTCAGACGAAGTGGTAAATCTTCGAAAGTTTATACTTTCTGGAGCCATCCATTTGATCGGTAATTTACATTTACTTGCAGTATAATAACTTTGATCTTCCACCCATCGACTCAGTCCAAAGTCTGCTAGCTTGACACAATTATGCGAAGAAACTAATACATTTCTAGCTGCAATATCTCTGTTAAAGGAGTCACAAGTAAATAATATGTTACAAATGGAGAAAGAATCTGTTTCATTTTTCTAAGAAAGAGTTTTTTTTTTTAAATACCTGTGCACAAATTTTTTACTCTCAAGGTACGATAAAGCAGTACTTAGTTGGAATGTGTAGAGTAAAAGAGTTGCAAGATCTAATCGATGTTTGTTAGACTGAAGATATGCACGCATTTCTCCGAGTCTCGCCAATTCCATAACCAACCAGATTGGCGGTTCGGAACATACTCCAATGAGTCTAATTATATGAGGGTGTTCAAATTGTTGCATGATGTCTGAAATACGTTTTAATTAAAAAATATTTAGTAAACATTTTAATCAATTCTACGTTAGTATATACGAGATCTCCACGTACAGGCTTCTTCGAGGAATTTTTCAGCAGTAGCAAGGTCAGCATCAACTTTACACGTTTTTACAGCAACAGCTATAGTTTGTCCATCTCTACCTTTATACGATCCTTTGTGAACATTACCAAATTGACCTTCTCCTATAATTTCACCCAGTTCTACTTGATTACGAACTATTTCATAATCACGTGCTGAAACAAGGAATAAAAACGTATCGAGTAATTATGTTGAAAATTTAATAAATTGATTATGTTGTATATATGAAATAAAAACAAAAACAAACATAATTATACATACTTGCTGGAGTAGAATAATCTCCTTCCTCGTCTACGATCTCCGCATAATCTTCGGACAAAATTGTTCCCGTTTTGCTCACATTTTTTTCTGGACTGTTGAAACCATCTTGTCTATACTTTGGAGGATGTGCATCTAACAAATATATAAAAAAAGTAATGAGATCTAGAAAATATTTGATAAATATGATATAGTTCATTTTTTGATGTAGTCACGTTTGTAGCCAGGGCATGCAAACGGGATAATGTTCATAATTATCAGGGAGAAAACTTAATTTTACTTCGGTGCGATGACTCTGGCTACAAGCTTGTATACAACAGCTTTAAATTACTATAAAAGGATTTTTTAAGACTACAAACCTTTGCATGGACAGGGATAATTTTTCCACGATGCAGCTTGGAAGTGTGAACAGGGATACAGCTTAGTATAATTAGTTAAAGTAAAAAGGGGATAGTCGTGCAAATTACTCGATTGTTGATAAAAATAGTTCATTTAATGTAACTCAATGTTTCACTTTTATACAACAAAAATTATCAATAATTTTTTAGGATTATGCAAAAAATAAATAAATTGATCGAACTAACGACTAAAAATTTACGAAACAAATTAATCTTTCTGTTCGTTTTTAAATAATCATACCAACAAGCTATTACGGCTTAATAATGTTAAAAAGTTTAATACTTAGATGATATATCGTCTTAGATGATTATTATTTATTCTGTTTATACAGTGCATGCTAAATCTTTCTAAGTATGTATATTTATTTTATAATATAAATGTTTACCTTTCCGATTCCATAAAGAAGTATTACTGCCAGTCACTAGTCTACAATAACCGTCTATCAAGTCAGCAAGACTTTCTGCTTGGTCCAAACTTGAACAAGTTATACTCAGCGTCTCGGTTGCTCCAGCGACTCTCAATTTGATGCATGCTTTGGCATGTTCTTTGCAGTCAGAAACCAACGTTTGAATTGATTGTATTTGCGAGAACTCTGTCATTCTAGTCGGCTAAGATGGTCGGCAAAAAAAATGATAGTCGGTTTAGGGGAGGCCACGACGAGATCTCATTGATTTTAATTTAATTTGTTAGTCATCTTACCACTGTTCCACCTCGATGAGCCATATAAGATATGCCGAGATCAGGACCTATGACTAGTTCAACAGGAATGGACCAGCTTGACTGAAGATGAAAGGATAAATGAATTTTATAGTTTATGTTTCGTTTTAAGTATTCTTTTTTTTGTTTTAATTTTTTTAACTTAATATAAAACTCTCTTACCCCCAATGCACAAATGAATCTTTCCTGGTCGAATCTATAATGTGCCCTAAGCAAGTCAAAGAACTTGAACATGCATTCTAATTCTGAAAGAGCGGCTACTTTCTTGAAATGTTGTTGTATCAGCTTTCTAAGTGCCTTTGGCTTCATTCCGTTTAATACGGACCGTGGAAGAAATTTGTGTAAGCCAACCTTAATTAAATGTTTTCTTATTAGAAGATATATTGCTTATGTACGCATGTTTTTTCTATTATTTCAAAAAATGTAGCATTGACTCTACCTCTCTTTCTAAGTATTCCAAATTGCTTTTCTTGTCAAGAGCCATTTGTGGCATGTCTTTGAAGAAATAGCGTATCTCTAAGCAACATAATTGAACCGCTACGTCTTGGTCCAGTGCAGAATGATTTGCATACAGGTAGTCGTTTCGTACCTACAGAGTGTTATTTTAGTAAAAAATTGTATACACTAAATTTATAAGAAAACAGTTATAAATTATCGAGAAGAATATTAATTTAAGAATATGTTTATTTAAATATAAAAAGAAGTGTTTTTCATTATCGACAACTTCCATTTCTATCTTTAGAAATGATTTTATATTTTTTTAATCATTTACAAAAAGTAATTTCTTGCTGTAGACAATTATTCTTTATGTATTTATTAAAATTTTACCTGATCGTAATAATAGTAGAACGTGACTTTGTCTTTTTCATAGAGATCATTTAGATTTTGTGGTAGATATCGTACTCTGAGTTCGTACCTCCATTCACAATGAGGATGTTTCTTTTCATATTTTTCTTGAACCTAGATACAATGAATATTAATATCATTAAATATATTATTTTGAAGATTATCTGTTTATTATTTAAATTTATTTGTATATTTTCAATACCTGATACATTGTGGTGTCTTGATGCAACCAGTAACTCTCACCAGATCCTGGATGATGCAATCTCATGGCATAGAGATTTCGATAATACCTGTTACCAACGGCAAGTCGGCTGGTTACTAACGAGATGATTCCTTTCACGTCAATAGCATCACCAAATTTGACGACATTAAAACCACCTATTAAGCAAAACATATGACCACAAGATAAATAAAAAAAAAAACGAAAAGACAATTATTTTATCACCAGCTTGAATCTATTATTAAACGTTTAATCAGATTTTACCCTGTCAACCTTTCGATGGGTATCATGGAACTATTAAGAAAGATAAAATCTAATTACCGTTGGGTAAGTGGACCTTCAAGGTGGCCTTGTCCATGGGGGTGGGCGATCCATGAGGTGGAGTATTTCTTCCACCTCCCCCACCCTGCACACCACCACCTCCGCTTCCACCTCCATCTCCTGTCCCAGTGCTCATCCCCTCATGGCTGCACAAAAATAAATACGAATAAATAGAATCTTAATTGAAGTCGATTCCCGAGATATATCGATGTTTAACACTTTTAGTATAAAGTAATAGTAAAAGTGAATTAATCCAGGCTAATAGAACGATATAAATATATTTTCGTTTAAAATTTATATTAAAGTGCATAAGAAAAATAAAGATTTAATTGGTTTTAGTCAATATATAATAAAAGTATGTAATAAAATCGTTTCTGATCGAGTAAAAAATTATTAAAACGTGTTATTAAACGGTTATTTCAATTAGATTTATAGTCGGAACTTCATTTCTTCAAGCAGATTAAATGCAATCAAAGATAATAATCAATAATTATTCTTGCCTCTTAAATGTTATATTTTTTAAATAAACATAGGTATGTGATATAACAGTAATTATCATAAGGTCTTTAAAAAACCAGTTTAATCTACAGAGAGAAAAAGTATTTAATTAGTAGATTTTTAGTTATTATTAGCTAAAAATCTTAGAATTTGCGTAATCAAAATAAATGCCTAAATATTCGTTAACTCACGTGGGTTGACGATTTAAATTTTCAATAAAAAAATTCAACGAATTTACGTAAACTTGTTCCTTGCAACAAATATAGTTGCAAATCAGGCAATATTTTAGTCTTCGCATTTTTCACCCAGGACAAATCAGACGATGCAAACAGTTAACGTTAAAATAAACGAGTGAACGGAAATCGATAACCAAACGGCGATTCATATCATACCTATACAAAGATAATATTAAAGGATCTCAATCTTTCTGAGAAATTCGAGACATTTTCTTGGAAAGATTAAGAAAAAGAGGGAAACACGTCTGCGACATCGGATATGATGATTCAATAAAATCGTTTAATGATAAGAAATGACGATTGATATTATTTCCTTATTAATTGAGTCATAGGCATGTGGATTTTCCTCGACTAATTTATAAACACTCAATGTATCATTGATTATTAAAATATACAGTAATAGAAATTTTTTTGTATTTTTTTTTTTCGACTAAAAAGTTGCTATGCTAATAAATTGTCCACGAGTAGATAAAAAAGAAAAAGAAAAATAAGAAGGAGACATGTCTGCTCGTTTATGTGAAACAGTTTAATATTAAAATCTCTCTGGTTGGCCACCTAAGTGAAAGACAAACTTGTCTAAGGAAGAAAAAAATAAATATAGACAGACAGACAGAGAGGGAGATACAAACAAATTTTCTAGACTTTCCAACAGTCTCAGTCTCAGTAAAAAGAGAGAGAAAGAGAAAGAGAGAGAGTTGCAAATTCAGGGAATCCACGAATATTTGTAAAGAACGTTGAACCTTCTTTCCTCTTGTCACGGTTGTACCGTTCCAGCTAAGACAGCGTGTTATGCGTTCAAAAGAAAAAGAAGATGTGGAATTTCACGCGGTGCAATGCTGACACGCGAGTCTTGAGATGAAGAAAGAAAGAAAGAGAAAAAGAAAGGGAGAGAGACAGAAAAAAAGAGCAAAAAAAACTGCTGAACCACTTCGAGTTAATTTTGCCAACCCCTTTCTTCATATACTTTCATCGTTCGCGAATGAAAAGTTTTCCGGGGTCTGTGCCGTTAGATTTTTCATGATTCGCTTTGCCGAAGTGCGAACGACGAGTACCATTTCAAAGGAATGCGTGTTTGCCTCTAACCTTTTCTCTTTTTTTCTTTTTCTACACGACCCTGCTCCCCATTCAAGCTCGATCGTATTCATCGTTTCACCGAACGCGCAACCCTCTGACACGTTTTATACTTACGTCGCGACGTAAGTTATCTATATAGGGTGTTTCATTTAATTTGATCATTTTAATATATGCATCGTATTTAAGAAGTAACGATTTGTTTCCAAGTAATGAATATGTAAACGCGTTAATGATAGCATCGTTGCCATCTGTCATGACATTTTTATGACGGTAGACGAAGAAATAATTAAAACATGCAATTTCATTCGAAACAAATTAGTAATTATATTTTTGTCTTAATATAAAGTATATAACATAGCTTACATCGGTAAATTAATTTTATAAGGTATTGAAAATTCAATAATATCTAAACTAATATTAAATTGTAAAGTTTGTGGACTTTTAAAAATATGTTTAATTTTTAATTTTAAACTAAACAAAATATTGAAAATAAAAGATAAAAAATTCTAATGAATCATTAGAGATGCTTAATGAGGTATTAGGATAATCGAGAAATGCATAGTAAGAAAAAATTAAAAAAATGATCGAAAATGCTTCCGCCACGCATGAGTCGCGAAATCGTTTCGTGCGACTACATTGCGCGTGTGTTTGTATTGCCGCTATTAATGCAAATGCATATTACTAGCGTCGTCCGGCTAAGGAATGTCGTCGTGTCAGGGACGAAACGTTCGAGCCATGCACCACGAGCTACTCGACAGATCGTAAATAGGAGCAATTAACGGCGCGAATCTCGAGTACTTTAAAATTGGATGAAATTCGCTGTAAAATTATTCGTTCTGTATAGTTGCGAATGTTCTCTCTCTCTCTCTCTCTCTCTCTCTCTCTCTCTCTCTCTCTCTCTCTCTCATGATTTTCTTATATTAATATTCTAAACAAGACCATTTCTTAAAATAATAATAGATAAAGTATTTTCATTCGTTGAATCGATTTTTTGTTTAAATTATTTATATATGTTCTATTTTATTAATATATATATGTATCATAATTTTATTCAAATGCGTTTTGTACACGATAAATATTTACGATTGAAAGATAATATTCAGCATATAAAAAAAAGCGGAATGAATGCACTTACGATTTATTATTATTACAAATACGTGTAACTTTTATATACTTGCGAGAAATAACAGTTAGCGATAAAGATCGAGTCAGAAATGATTATCAAAGTAATTATGCGAAACGAGTCTTGAGTTCCGTTGAGTTCCGACAAAGGTTCCCACGGTTAAACGCAAATTATTGCACAATTCGCGATCCCCGGTACATTATTGCGCATCCGCATCTCGTTGAATGTGAAACGAGTGACGATTGAGCAAGAGTCATTAGGAATGACGCTAATATTCGATTCAAGCTTCGATTCATCGCGCGTACGCACCTTTTATTCTGGCTCATATAGACAAATATTCAATGCCAATTCAAATCAAACTAACAACCGTTTTATTAAACACATTATAATATTAAGTTGATTCATAAATAATTGTTATTTGATTGTAATAAACTTTATATTTATATTGTGCTAATAGATTAACATATTTTTGACAGTAAAGTTGAATAAATGATTATTATTATATTATGGTAATAATTTATTATTGTATATAAAATTAATAAATAATAATAATCAATTCTTTTCTCATAACAGTACTACGAACTTACAATTAGTTATGCATAAACTCGATAAATACGATATCTTTTAATAAGAATTCTTAGTTTAATTATTTTCAATAGCTATTGTATGTAATTGAATTTCCGTTATAGGATGTTGTCTTGTTGATTAACTGTTGTTTTTTTTTTATTTCAATAATAAAACACGTTACTTTTATTTATCTTTCTTTTCCTTTAAAGTGATTTATCGATTCTAATTCAATGAGAAACTCGCGTACGAAAGTCGTAAATATTCGTTGCATCCGGATTAAGAATAATCGAGCTTGCCAGATAGGAGATCGTTATTTGAAAGTGAACGATAGACATGCTCGACAAAGTGCGATTAATCGAACTAGAAGTGATAACCAACCAAATCGAAGATTTCGGGGTGATACGTACGTTTTATCGTACTGTATATCGTAATTATAAGTTGTTAGCAATATTATATTCATAGATATATATTACATATACATTTTGCATTTGTATGTACACATACTTAAATATAAGCACGCATATACACAAACAGAATATAAGTGTTTGCTTTATTTTGCGATATTACGAATGCACCAGGTGCCGATAGTGTTACCAACGTGACACGTGATATCGATTACGAGTGGTACCTACCAGTATTATAAAAAAAGAACAGGCCGCGAAACTCATAATAGAATGACGGTGGTGTCTCTCTGCTCGAACTAATAACCACTCACATTTGATACTAATCATTTCTCCACGATGTCATAAGAACGTAATTCATTCCACGAAGGTCCTGCCTGTTCCTCGAGTTATGCGCATTTTGTCTCCCGGGGATCATGTAACACTTGAAGCTCAAGGCGATCGAATGATTTGTTTCATTTGCTATGTATATTTAGAATTATTATGTTCGATGAAATCATTTTTTTGTCCGTCTCTTTCTCTCTCTCTCTCTCTCTCTTTCTCTTTTTCTCTTTCTGTATAATCTTTTTATATCAAGTGTATTTATCACTATATACGTTAAATGTTTTCATAGGTATATTTTTGTTTGTAATTTAATATTTTTGTCTCTCTTCTTATATTTTGAATTTTTATTTATGTATATATTATATTTTCGTAAATGTCTAAAATAATTCGTTAAATTATAAATTAAATAATAAGAACCCGAAATTACTAATGCTCATTCAATTCTAATACGCGAATGGATGAAATTCAATTTTGAATTTTCGTTTACAAAGATTAAATTTTAATCAAGCATATTATCTTTCTGTTATATTAACGTTTATGGATACTTCATTACATTTTAACTAGCTAATTTGCAATATTTATAGTAACATATATAATGTTTTGTTTATCATTGTATACATAGAATATCTTTTTAATTATTTCTTTTCCCATTGTATGAATCTCTCTCTATTTTTAAGATCTCGTATCTTTCAATTTCGTATATTAATTTTTATTATAGTATAAATATATAATCTTTTTTTAATCAATTTATTTTTTTTCTTAAAATTCGAATGGCAAACACGAAATACATGGACATGGAATGAATGAAAATTTGGAAAAATCACGCCGATCTCAAAGCCATCGTGGAATTCGGTGTATGTACGTTCGAGGAATGTGTTCGTTCGATACGCCTGGTGGAATCTCGATCGGATTCATCGAGTCGA